CCCTAACTAGCAGAGTGCAGGGTGCGTTTTATTCTTGGAGTGAAGCAGCGGCGGCCGGGGAGAAACATGGCAGCAGAGTGCCTGCACCCGGCCATCGAGGAGCGGGCGTGGTCCTGACTCCAGACACGGCCTCCTGACAGTGCACTGGAGGAGGAGGGTCAGGCAGGCTCTGGAGATTCCTGGCAAACGGGTCAGATCCCACGGGCAACTCCCTCCACCTTATCATAAACACAGGGACCTTTGGTTCTCACAACCCCCAAGGCACGATTATTGCAGTCGCCGTTTCACGGATGAAGGCCGAGACGCAGGTGCAGGTTGAGGGACCACCCCAGGTGACCCCATAGAACTAGGGCTGTGTCTAGGTGTGTCTGACCCTAGAGCTGGCCTCTCCTGAGTCAGGGAGCCCTGCCTCCTGCAACCACCCATGTAGTCCCCCCGGCTCCCCATGTGGCCTCCAAACCACCCCTCTTCCTCCTGCACCACCGGGCTGCTCTGGCCCTCTGCTCCCGGGCTGCCTACCCTCAACCCTCCTAGGCTTCGTCCACTCCTCGCCTGGGGCATCTCTCGTCCTGCTCAGAATCTTCTCTGCTCTAAGCCTTCTGAGAACATGCAGAACCTGGGGATCTGGGAGTTGCACCCCTGCCACAGCCCCTCTTTGATCTGAGCCCTGGTGTGACCTCGGCCCCCACGCTCATGGCCCCAGCTGTACCCCACGCCACTTTGGAATGCTGAGGTCCACTGTGCCGGTCTGCCCTGTCTTCTCCCTCCTGCGGTCACAAGCTCATTCTGGCCTGTCTTTAAACCTCTGGCCTTGCACGCCCATCCCTCCCCGCACTCCAATCCACTGTCAGGAGGTGGTGGGGAGGCTGCGTCTGGACTCAGGAACTTCCTGCCGCTGACGCAATGCTGCTGGGACTCCGCAGCCATGTTTCTCCCCTGCCACCAGCAAGGGGCCCTAGAGGGTCCTTCACATTGGAGGGGAAAGGACCAGCTACTTCCTGTCCAACCCCTGGTCTCTGAGCATCACCCTGGCCGTGGGGACATGTAGTTCCATGTTCCAGTGTCCCTTCACTCCCAGAAGCAGCCTCTTTGTGCCTCTCTGAGTGGCTGGCACCAGCAGGGCACTGCCCCTCCTCAAATGTCTGAGCTGCCGCGCCAGGGGACGGCCGCCTCTGGGGGTCCCACACCCCGGCCTCTCCTTTCTCTCCCCAGCCGCCTCCACGGCCACTGGGGTAGAGCGGTTCCTTCCAGCAGTTGCCCTCTCTGCCCTCCAGTGGCTGCTCTCTGTCTTTTTTGTCCTACACTACCTATGTAACCAGTTCTCAGTGTCAAGTTGTTACAGTAATGAACGTGGTTTGTTTTCCCGATCGTCCCAACTAATAAATATATATGAACATTTCCCTCCTTGTGTGCCAGACCCCGTGTGAACTGCTCAGCATGTACTAACTCTCGCAGTCCCCCAAACCCTTCTGGCAAGCCGTTACTGTTATCCCCACCGCACAGGGGAGAAACCTGAGGCAAAGGGAGACACAGTGTGTGCTCAAGGCCACACGGCTGGTAAGAGCTGGCTCCCGAGACTGCACTCAGACCTATGCACCGCGCGGCCTCTGGTCCCTGAATCAGTAACTGACCACCGTTCTTCAGTTTAAGATGGATGGTAGCTATTGCTGGGCCCTTGAATTGTTTGGGGGGTTTACCTGTGATAGGGCCTGGATCCCCTTGAACTTGACAAATTTGTCACAGTTGATCCAGGAACCTTGTGACTTGAATTATTTGGTCCATGATTTGTTCCAATCTGTCTCCTTAGTGTTTGCCTCCTCCCTTCTGAGCCCCATCCGCCCCTGGCCTCTCTCTTCCCTCCACGTTCTTCTCCTGATCCCATCTCACGTGTGGTGCCAGAAATCTGGTGAAGTGGGAAGGGAGCAATGCTTCTGCGGAAGCTCTAGCAGGCTCTAGTTGACCCAAAGTCATCAACGACTCGTGAGTATTTGGGGTACCCTGAAACACCTCTACCAAGGGCCCCTGCGACCCCCACGACAGGTGAGGCTCTGTGTTGTGCAGGCCCGTGCAGCGAGCGCGGCTCCATTTCAGATTTCCCTTCCCAGCGGCCACCACAGCAGCTGCTGTCTACCACTGTCCTTGCCGAGGTTGGGAAGGGTCACTCCCAGCATGCTTGGCTCCGCCTGCCTGGTCTTTTGCTCTTGCCCCAGCATGGTTTCTGGTGTCCTATAGAGAGAATCAACTTAGAGATCCAAGTTGGTATTATTTTTAGAAATAAAGACATTCCATCTCAGCTTGCCTAGGCCTGTTCAGGAAGGAAAACAGGGAAAGGCCCCGTGTTTCTCCAAAGTTCAAGCTGGAGCAGTGCAGAGGGGAGGCAAAACTCCTGACTCACTGCCCGAAATGTTCTTCTTTGTTGCAAAGACTGACCTTGTCTTCCAGATAACGCAGCTCTCGAGGACAGGGCCCAGCGGCCCTGCACACTGGCCTCTTTGTCTTGTCCTGGCGTCTCTGGGACGAGGCCTCGTGCCAGACCCGAATCTGTGCCACCCTTGTCTTCTGTAAATCAGGGCAGATCGGGTTTCCGCCATTCACGCCGAACCTGCAGCCCTCGACAGACCAGGCTGACCCTGTAGTTAACAACAGGATCGGTTTTTTAAACCTTGAAATCTGAAATTGGGTTGAATGTGGAACAATGTCACCTGGTCCTGGGCAGAGCTGTGTTTGTCCTTGTAGGACACGCCCGCAGGTCTGGAGTCTCCGGGGTCAGCCTGGTCTGTCGAGAAACATTACAAAGAAAACCCCAACTAGATGGGGTCAAGTGAAGTCTTCCTTAAGATTTCACAAAGGACCTGCTTTAGAAACTGAGGGAAGACCTTTCTCCGCTCACTTCAGACGCCGTACTAGGCGGGGCTCTCCCGAGAACCAGAACCAACATGGCAGGGATGCGGAGCGAGTGTTGGAGAACCAAGAGGGAGAAAACCCTCCACATTCACAGACAAGCAGATTGAACGTAATTAAGACAACAGGCAATGGCACTGGACAAACTGGATCTGACCAACATACACAGACCATGCACCCCAAACCTGCAGAACACACGCTTCCCAGGTGCTCAGCGGGCACTGACCGGCACAGAACACAGGCTGGGCCACCAGGTGTGTCTCACCGAGTTTCCGGGGATCAAATTCACCCAGAGCATGTTCTCTCACCAAGTGGAACTAAATGAGAAATGAATAATAAAACATGAGAGCCCTGGCTGATGTGGGTCAGAGGTTAGTGCCAGCCTGCAAATCAAAGGGTCACCATGGGTTCAATTCCCAGTCAGGGCACATGCCTGGGTTGCAGGCCACATCTCCAGTAGGGGGCGCAGGAGAGGCAACCACACATTGATGTTTCTCTCCTTCTTTTTCTTCCTCCCTTACCCTCTCTCTAAAAGTAAATAAAATCTTTTTTTAATTCTAAAAAAAAATGATAGAACATTAGGAATTTCCCAAAGTTTAGAAATCAAGCCACACATGTCTAAAAACATACACACATAGAGAAGAAATCATGGTGAAAATGACAAGGATTCTCAGCTACAAAAAATACCCACAAAAACCCCCAAAATAGCTGTGTCGTTTTTGGCAAATGGCAAATAGTTCAGAAAGGGCAGGAAAGCAGGAGATGGGGATGGAGAGCTCGGCCAGATCAGGATAAGAACTGGGCTTGGAGGTGGTAGAAAGCTCTGGAGGCTTTTAAACAGGGGGCCTGGGGGGGGAGTGTGAAGGGTGGGCTAGAGCTGTTGGAGGGGAGGGTGGATGGAATGGGGAGTAGTGATACCAGTTTGGAGACCACTGCCCCACAGGGTGCTGGCCAGGTAGCTCAGTTGGTTAAGAGAGTCATCCCAACACGCCAAGGCTGATGGGTCAATCCCTGGTCACGTGTATATAAGAAACAACCAATGAATGCATAAATAAGTGGAAGAACAAATTAGTACGTGGATGAATGTAGCAAGGAAAGGGAAGAAGAGTAAAGGATGACCCTGGGATTGATTGGCTGGGAACCTCATGGTAATATTCACTTACAGAGGGCACAGAGAAGAAAGTGCAGCTTAGGGACAATTGGGAGAATGAAGAATTCCTCCCCAACCCTGGGCCAGGTGATAACTAGTGACTCAAAGGGTTCCCTTCTCTTTGCTTTCATCTTGGGCCTTACTCAACAAGTTACGGAGGGTGTGTCTCTCTGGAATGCAAGACACTGCCCTAGGCAATGAAACAGGAAGCACTGAGTAATGAGCCATCTTGCCCCTAAGAGGGCTTACATCCTAGTTGAGAAGACAAGTATTCACAAAGGTAAACGAAAATACAAGCAACTACACAGCGTGGTCCAGCGGGCGCCGGGGGTGGCAGGGGAGGGTTTACCGTGCCGGAGGTGATCTAGGAAAACTTCGCGGGGCAGATGATTTGTGGGTGGGTCTTTGAGGGACGGAGTATGTGGAAGAAAAGGAAGAAAGACATGATTAAAAGCAAAGCGAAGAGCGTCGGGAGCGCCTTTGACTGTTTCAGGACACGTTGCCTCACATGCACTTATAAGGTTGGATTGTGGTTCACGAGTACGCCACCTTTGGGGAATTTTAGTATTGCCGGCAACCGGCGGGGGAAAAAAACCCCGCCCTCCACTTTTAAAACCATCCCAGCTGAACGCATGCGCAAAGGGTTGTGTTACCATTGAGGCGCAGAGCTAGATCGTCGTCTTCCCCGGAGGCGGACATTTTGGGTCCTGGCAGAAAATTTAGAATGGTCTGGGACTACTACCGAGTCAGACTACACAGCTCAAGAACGTGAAACCGAAGAGCTCCTGTTGGACGACAAAAATCGAGTGGCTGAGCGACTTCTTGGTGTTTCCCCAGGAAGAACACGCTTTTAGAGTTGTACCCCCACCTTGCCCTCATTTGAGATGGCGGCTCTACGGACGCTCTAGCTGGCGCCTCTTGGATTTCCCGGATCCCCAGAGGGGGCGGAGGCCTCGTCACAAGCTCTTTGGTGGCTACGGCGGCGGTCGTAGCGAACTCTGTTTCCGCCTGAGTTCGCTGTGGCTTTTGGTACCAGGAAGGTGAGGGTGCCGGACCTTTTGGGCAGAGCTTCTCCGCGCCTTCCCTGGCCTCGCGGGCGCCTCAGTCGGAGAACCACTCCCGGCTGCAGCCCCTCGCGGGCCGGCGGTAACCGCGCCTCGGGCCGGACGATGCCCAAGAAGCTGTTGCTGCTGCCCCCGCTCTCCGTGTCCTCGGCCTTCCGCGCCCCGCGAGTCAGCCCCGCCGCACGCCTGGCCATGAACGCCGCCCGCACCGGCTACCGAGTGTTCTCGGCCAACTCCACGGCCGCTTGTACGGAGCTGGCCAAGCGCATCACCGAGTAAGAGTGGGGGCGGGGGCCAGGGACGCCCCGAGGGATCCCGGCCCTGAGGCCGTCCGTGCTCCTCTTCCCCTCCATGTCCTGTAGCAGGCCGAGGGATGATTTGCCCCATCGCCTTGTACCTAGGCGAGGGGGTCGCAGAATCCTGCCATTCCGGGGCTGGACAAACCTTTGGAGATGAACGAAGGCGTCCCGCCCCTCCCCCCCAGTTCTGCAGATTTTTAATAATTTAACACACCCTAACCCGGTTGCTAGAACCACTCGCCCTCTGTCACCCACTCCCGCTGTGCCAGACGGTGGTGAAGATCCTTGTGACCCCAGCAGGGAGCGCCTTGGAGAGGGGCTGTGAGCTGCCTCCCTTTTCCATGGCTGGAGTTGACCCAGGGATCTGGTCCTCGCCATTCTCAAGCCTCCTCCCTGAGCCCGGGGTCAGGATGCAGCTACGACGTGGAGCTCGGATGGGGCGGGTGCACTAGGTGGGCGGCGGGCGGCGGGCGGCGGCTCCCCATGGGCACCGGGGAGCGACCATGGTGTGGGGCGCGCCCTGAGAGCACGGCAGCTGCAGGCCAGCAGGGCTGTCGGAGCTGGTGCTGGAAACGGTGGGTCTCACCTAGTTTCCAAGGCGGCTTGAGTCGCATCGGCCGTATGAAGTCATGTCTTTGCCTTTCTGTGTCTGTTTAACCCCAGGACGCCCGTGGTCTCCAGTGGCCTGGCCACAGCTCTGAGATGCCTCCCTGGGCTTGCCACTTAACCAGCTCCGTGACAGGGGGCGAGGGACGTGGTTGTTCAGAACCGCATTTGTAAAACGGGTGATTCTGTCTACTAGGCAAGAATATTGGGAGTTGGGACAAAAAGCATGCCTACCGAGCATCTCTCCGGCCGAGACTCCCGGGCCCGTGGAGGGCGCGCGCTGCACGGCCACTGCTCTGCTGGCCTCTGGGGCGGGGCGCGGGGGGAGGAGCCCCAGAGCCCTCGGAACAAACCTGTGGCCGGTGGGAGGCATAGAAGGCATCGCTTGTATTTTCACACTTAAAGTCGTTTTCGAATTTTAAATAGTTTTACATTAGCGTTCCTCTGAATTTTTCCGAGTAGATAAATAAAAGCATAGTTATATTTTTAAATCCGAGATTGGAATGTAGAAGAAAGAGGAAACTTGAGTCTTGTTTTCTCAGTCATGGTTTTCTTTTCAGTTAGAATTTTAAGAATGAAGAGTGTAAAAAACAGTCCTTTTGCGTCTACTGCTAGGTCTGTTCCTAACCCCGGGGTTTTTGTCTTTCTTTTCTGAGGCCAACTAAAACACCAGCAATAACTGTAAAGCTGGCATCTGTTTGTTTGGGCAACGTTTTCCACACACTGACCTTGGAGGGACACAGCAGGAAGGAGGACACGTGGAAAACCTCATTGGCTTTCGCTCTTTGATCCCGAAAGGTTTAAAGTTGCTGTGAATAATGAATACCTGTGGTTACTTATCTGTTTCATATATTGAATTTCTCAGTAAGATTTTATCTGAAAGGTTTTCCCATTTAGCAGAGTTGAAGACCTTAGGTGAGATTGGCCCGAGGTTGTGACGTGCCCCTGATTCCTTTCAGATCTCAGTGTCAAGCAGGGATTTACAGACTTTTTTTATGATGCACTTTTATTTTTAATTGAATTTACTGGGGTGGCATTTGTTAATAAAATTATGTAGGTTGCAGGTGTACCAGTAAAACACGTCAACTGTATACTGTACACATGTTCATGCCCCCGTGATGACGTGCTTGAATCAATGAAAAAGTTAGGTGTGTTACACTCCCAGGCTGTGTAAATTACACGGGTGCTAGTGAACCCCCGCACCCTGCATCCAGCTTCCACACTGGGTTCACCTTGTTTCATCTGCTGCACCCGCCCCTCACCTCTTTGGCTGGAGTACTTCATGTAAGGTAACACGGAACAAAGTGGACCGTTTTGGTCATTTTGAAGGCACATTTCGGTGGCATCAACTGCATTCGCAGTGTGCAGAGCACCATCCACCTGCAGGGCTTGGCATCGTCCCATAGCGAACCTCTGCCCACACACACCGGCTTCCCCGGCCCCCCTCCCCAGCCCCTGGTCCCTGCCTGGTGTTTTCTGCGTCTGTGAACTTGCCAGCTCTGGATCCCGCCTGGAGAGCGTCTGCGGCGTTGGCCTTTCTGTATCTGACTTTTTTTTTAAAGATTTTATTTATTTTTAGAGAGATGGGAAGGAAGGGAGAAAGACAGAAACATTAATGTGTGGTTGCCTCTCACATGGCCCCCACTGGGGACCTGGCCTGTAATCCAGGCATGTGCCCTGACTGGGAATTGAACTGGCGACCCTTTGGTTTGCAGCCCACACTCAGTCCACTGAGCTACACCAGCCAGGGCCTGACTTGCCTTTCTTATCAGACTTTCTTCAAGATTCATCCATGTGGAAAATGGAGACAACTGTACTTGAACAACAACTTTTATAAATGTGAAAAAAGACTTACATAAACAAACAAAAAAAAATTCATCCATGTTGTAGCATATAACAGAATTTCATTCCTTTTGAAGGCTGAATAATATTTCATTGTATACTTGGCTGGAGTATTTTTTTTAAGATTTTTATTTTTTAGAGAAAGGGGAAGGGAGGGAGAAAGAGAGAAACACCAATGTGTGGTTGCCTCTCACATGGCCCCCACTGGAGACCTGGCCCGCAACCTAGGCATGTGCCCTGACTGGAAATCGAACTGGCAACCCATTGGTTCTCAGCCCACACTCAGTCCACTGAGCTGCATCAGCCAGGGCTTGGCTGGAGTATTTTTGAACAGATTCCAACCTTATATCATGTCATTCACTCATGAAATGGTCATGCCAACCAATAAGAACTGAAACAACAGCAAAAAATACAGCACCATTGATTTCTTACCATGTCGTGTCGGTTCTTATTCATATTTTCCTGATTGTCTCAAAAAGGGCTTTTTACACTTGATTTGTTCCAGCTGGGATCCAAATAAGATTCACACCGATTTCGGTTGATGGTATTGAAGGCTCTGTGCTTTTGACAGTTGAGGCATTTACCTCTGGCTTATGGTTTTGGAATTAATTGGTAGTAGCCAAGTAGTTGTTTGGGAATGATTTTCCAAGACAGTTATTCATAAAACAATGATCTAGACATTAAACTTGTCTGGACCCGTCCCAGTGAAGCTTTGTGTTACAAAATGCTGAGTACTTGAAGCTGCTCGTGGGCTCACAACAGATTTTTAGGTCTTAATGAATTAAACTTTGCAAATTGCTTTTTTGGGAAAGAATGCCAGTCTAGTTATTTTCATTTTTTTTGTTAAATTTATGCATATGAACCGGAGTTTTTAAGAAAGAGTGCTTTTAATTGCTTCTTATTTTCCCCTCACAGGCGTCTTGGTGCTGAGTTGGGGAAGTCTGTGGTGTATCAAGAGACCAATGGAGGTAAAGTTAAAATGATTTCTTAAACATCCTTTGCTCTCTAACCTATGCTTAATTGGCTGGTATGTATTTAAAAGGCAAATGTTACTCATATTTAACACAGGAACACTTTTCTCTTTAACATTAGAAGTATAAGTCATCATTCTATGCTTTCCTTTAAATCTTTACTGCTTTTTTTTTTTTTTTAAGGATTCTATTTATTCCTAGACAGAGGGGAAGGGAGGGAGAGAGAGGAAGAGAAACATCAATGTGTGGTTGCCTCTTGAGCGCCCCACACCGGGGACCTGGCCCGCGACACCCAGCTATCTGAGCCGCCCCAGTCAGGGCACATGCTGCCCGGTGATTGCATCACGAAGTGCTTGTCTTAAAGGTGCAGGACATCTTTATTTTTCAGAAACAAGAGTTGAAATAAAAGAATCTGTTCGTGGCCAAGATATTTTCATTATACAGACAATACCCAGGTAAGAGTTAGCAGTACTTTGGTATAATTCATTTTCATTTCATATAAAATTACAAATGCGTTTGCACGTGAAGTGGTTCCCCTGAGTTCTGTGAGCCACTCTAGCAAACTCTTAACTCTAGGAGGGGTGATGGGAACCTTCGGTTCATAGTCAGTGCGCCACAGTCGCAGCTGACGGCGTGGACCTGGTTGTCACCGGAAGTGGGAAGGGGTGCCGTCTGGAGGGAGAGCGAAGCCTGTGGGAGCTGATGCTGCTTGTGTCGGAGTGGAGTGGAGTTTAGGACGCCCAGCTGGTGCCCGGAGGCCCTGAGAGTGCCTCGCTGTGGGAGGAGCCCACACACATTTGGTGGCAGAGTCCTCCGTGTTCTGAACGTACAGCCTCCTTTGAGGGAACCGTCTGAAGGAGACTGAGGGCCGTCGGGTCACAGGGTGAGTTATTTGGTCCCCAGTGTAACAGAATTCCCCTGCAGTGACAACTGGTAGTTACCACGTGCTTTATTTTTAGTTCTTTTTTGTGGTAATAAAAGCAATGTTCATTACCAAAAATATAGGCATTATAGAAATGTGTATCAGAAAATAAAAATTCCCAGACCTTGTCCACTCCCCAGTCTTCTGAGATAGCTACTTTAAATAGTTGTTTATTTCTCTGTGTTTTATATATGTATACACATTTAGGCTCAAAACCAAAAACAAGTCATCGTAATTTATTTGGATGGTTCAGGTTTCAGGAGTATATATAAAGACACATCCCTGTGCCCTTTGACACTAGCCACCCATCCCCCTCACCGGGCGGCAATTACTACCCATTTCTTAGGTGTTCTTTCAGAGACTGGGCATACTCAAGCAATTGCTTATATATTTTTCTTAATTTTTACCTTAAAGTGCTCTAATATACTCTGTGCCGAACTTAAAAAAATAAAACAGTATACTGTATTAGCACAGAAAGAGCTGCCTTGTCTTTTAAAAATGCGTATTTTGGCAGAATCACAAGCTTTCAAAAAACTCGCAGGTGTGGTGTGGCCACCTGAGAGCGGCTGCCAGCCCGACGTCTCCCCCTGGACCCCAAACGCTTCAGCGCGCAGTCCCCGGGGCGTGGGCCTTCCCCGCCGCAGCCCCGCACAGCCGTCAGGGCAGGTACCCATGCTCCTGTGTGACGGCCATCTAACCCTCAGACCGCAGTCACAGATGGGTTTTAAAAAATATATTTTATTTATTTATTTTTAGGGAGAGGAAGGGAGGGAGAGAGACATCGATTGGCTGCCTCTGGTACACACCCCAACTGGGGACCCGGCCCACAGCCCAGGCGTGTGCCCTGACCGGGACCAAACTGGTGACCCTTTGCCTTGCGGGACGACGCCCAACCCACGGAGCCACAGCAGCCGCAGGCCCCGTTCACGTTTGTCTGCTCTCCCACACGCTCTTCGTTGCGCTGGGAGCACGGAGTGGTCGTGCCTCTTTGGACTTCCTCAGCCTCTGCTCGACTTTCAGAACTTGGCCACTTCGGCCAGTTGGTCAAATATCACTCAGTGCAGGTGTGTCAGGTCTTACATTGTATTCACCCAAAAGCAGGAAGGCTGAAGTGGGAGGCCGCTGGCACAGACCTGGGTCCGAGAGGAAAGCCATTTGGGCAGCGCCGGCTCAGGCAGAACCCAAGCGGCGCACTGATCGGGGCTGCAGGCGGGGGCACCTGTGGGGAAGGCAGGGGTTTTCCATGGGCGTGAGTCAGCCAAGGGAGGAATTTCGGCAGGTGTGCCTAAGCTGAGTTGTTTTTTATCTGTGCGCGGCGGTGCTGACTGTAACGAACGTTTCTAATTTTCAGTCTGAAGTCAGGACGTCTGCTGCCTGGCGGCGGTGCGGGCAGTTTCGGGCGTGGCGTGCCTCGGCCAGTTCGGAGGTGGCGGTGCCCTGCGCACGGTCCTGAGGGAGCGCCGAGGAGGAGCAGCTCCTCCCCGTGTGGAAGTGGCCCAGTCTGTGTCACTTTTCACGGTGACGACGGCATTCACCTGTGCGGTTTTGGAAGGGGTCCCACAGGAGTGGAGTTGTGTCCTCATCTGGTCGTTCGCTGCCTTCATAATGTGTTACAGACCCAAAGTGATTCAACAGGCACATGCCTGACGGTTCCCGGTCTGGTGCTGACGCAGTAGTGCCGCAGTGGCACATCCTGGAAGTGTGTCCTATTGCCTGGCTGTCGGGTGTCTCCATGGGGAGACTCAGAAATGGGACTGCCGTGCGAGGACCCGAGCACTTGTGGGGTTGCTAGGCGTGCCGCGTGCGTTGAGAGCCGTTCGTAGCGTTTGTAGCATCGGGAGGTACCTCTCTGTGTTGCCCTTCCTCGGGGACGCACTAATCGACGTCCCCATCAGCCGCATCAGCTGGTCTGGTTCGGTGTTGCTTGCCTCCCACTGGGTTTGTTTAATACTGCATCTTGGAAGTGAGGGGACACCCGAGGGGCTTGCCGAGGAGCGTGGCCCGCGGCTGGGGCGGGCTGACGCTCCTGAACTGTTCCCCGGCCTTCGGTGCTCCATGGCGTTTTGTTGGTAGTAGTTGGTAAGGTTGCGATGTTGTTGCTTCTCCCTGCAGATTCTTGACGTCCTTAGGGCATGGGAAAGAGACTCATGGGACCCCAGGTCCTTGGCTTGGCCACCTCAGGCTGTCGAAAGCCCTTGGCCAGTTTACCGAGGGGTGGCGGAGAACAGGACTGGGCACCACAGCTGCGACAGGCCAGCTCTGCCGCTGGTGCTCCGGGGAATGTGGGCTGTGAATCCAAATGCCGCAGCGGCCAGGACGGTCTCCTGCCTCCACCCTGATGGGTATGTGCTGGCCAGAGACTCAGGCATGTGAAGAATTCTTGTCTTTAAGAAACGTTACAGTCACATCCCGGTCTGCATCTTAATTTGGAATCGGAGCCCCGACTGCTAGCTCCTCTCTAGGGAAAAGGTCACTCTCGGGATCGTTGCCTCGAGGATGCAGGTGGCCGTGCTGTTGGCAGCCCCGTTCTGTCCGTGTGTTTGGGGGTCACCCCTGCGTTGGGGGATGGTAGGAGGTTGGACCCCTCACCACAGAGGCCCCAGTTTGTTGGTTGATATCAGAGACTGAGGGCTTGGGGGGGGCTGCCTCCCCCGCGGTCTGTAGATGCTGGTGAGTTTCTCGTTTTCAGAATGAGTTGGAACACGTGAGGCTTGATGGCTTTGATGCCTTGGGTGAAGTATAATCTTTTATTTATTGATTTAAAATATTCTATTTATTTATTTTTAGAGAGGGAACGGGAAGGAGAAAGAGTGGGAGAGAGCATCAATATGTGGTTGCCTCTCACATGCTCCCTACTGGGGACCTGGCTTGTAACCCAGGCATGTGCCCTGACTGGGAATTGAACTGGCCACCCTTTGCTTTACAGGCCCGTGCTCACTCCACTGAGCCACACCAGCCAGGGCTTGAAATATAATCTTTTTTGATACATTTCTTGATCATAGGATTGAGTTAGTAAGACCAAATATTTTTGTAGCACATTTTCCCGAGGCTTTCACGTGTTCTTTCCCCTTTATCTCCAGTGCGGGCTCAGGACGTAGGGACGAGGTGCAGTAATAGAGAGCCCACTGTGCAGGCGCTGGTTGGTGCCAGGCATGGCTCCAGGGCTTCAGGGGGCATCTCGTTGGGTCCTTACCTCCACCTTCGGAGGCAGGTGCTGTTTTCATCCCTGTGTGGTCTCAAAGCAGAGATTTCTACATCTGGGTGTGGCTGAGTGTGCCTGAGTGTGCCTGTGTGTGCCTGGTCGTGTGTGTTGGTTGAGGGCACAGCCCGACCCCCGCTCTTATTTCGTCACCGCACGGCGCCCTCCGGCTTCCTTATGGCACCAGCTCCTCGAGGGTGCGGCTCTTCTGTTTGTTGGTGGGTCTCTAGCACCCTCAGCCCTTTGGTTTGATGGATAAATGGACATTGACCTTCCGTGTCAGTAGCGCGTGTATTCCCTCGAGTCCTCGTGGAGTGGGTTGACGAGTACTATGCAATCCTCGTTCATTCTCCTCTTCGTGAAATGCCTGGACCTTCTTCTGTTCTTGGACCTCAGCAAGCCCCTGAGAGCTGGTGTGACTGCCTTTCCCACTGCATCTCCTCTGAAGTGGAAAAGCCTTTGCGACTTCTGTCTGTCCTTTGAAATTCCCGGTTCTAGTTCAGACTTCTTTCAACACGTCACACACAGGAAGAGTTTGCAGTTTCCTGCCAAGCGGCGTTCACTGTGAACAGCACTGCCCTCTTGGGATCTCGCGATACTGTGCTGTCGGTCTCCTTGGCAGTAAAAGTGCACCTTCGGGCAGTTCTTGGGTTCGATGTGGTCACCAAGAACGCTCAATGTGAGTGTTTAACATGCGCAGCCGAGTGACACTGGGCATAGCGTCTTCGAGGGAAAGGATGACACAGCAGGGAGAGAGACAGGTCAGTTGGTGACTGCGGGGAAGGGTGCGTGTTAGTGCTCTGGGACTCAGAGCACCAGAGACCAAAGGGGGGCCGGGTGCGGCTGCGGGGTTGCAGTGGAGAGTCTGACTCTGGCGGAATAACCGTGATGACACTTTTACTGAAGGTGATATGGTCCCCTTAGGTTAGTTCCTTCTGAGATTGTTCAGAAGCCATCATTGTCTGCCTGGTGGTTCGGTGTGGCAGTTTGTGTGACGTACCACTGAGCCACCTCCGACTCCTGGCGACCTGGTGAGTGAGTGACGCCCACACTCTGTGGTCGGAGTTTGAGGTCCCTCCCTGCCAGGCGCCGTTGCATAGCACGCAGCTGCGCAGCCTTCTCCGCCGCGTGTTGCTCGGACAGCCCGAGGTGTGTCCCCCTGAAGCGCCTTCGGGACTGGTGGCATATTTCTTTGACCAGTCCAGCAGTGGTAGACTTTTGGTTGTTGGGGATGAACTTAGTTTTTGGAAATAGCCAACAGCCATGCTGAATGTGATGAGGCTGAGTCACTGAAAGGTTTGTTCTATTTCCCGTGTGTGGGGGTGCTTTCCCCCCGGTACCAGGCAGTCCTGTCACAAACCCAGCTCAGTTTGGACACGGTCTGCCTGGAGACAGCCCCAGATCCCACAGGTTAGGGCTCTGTCCTAGCAGGACCCCCCAGACATTGATCACAAGTCCAGGTGGTCACCTCGCTTCTGACCCTCCAGCCCAGTGACTGGCTGATTGGAGGTTCCAGCGACCCCTGCTTTAGTTCCGTTAATGTGTCAGAGGGTTTCACAGGTATAACTCAGCAACAGCCCAATGGAAGAGACGCCCCGCAGGACTAGGTGTGTGGGGGAGGGGGTGGAGCCTCCACACCCCGAGGGGCCGCTCGCCCCACCTCTCCTTGTGTTCCCCCGACCCAGCCTCTCCACACTCCCTGGCTTCGGGTTTTCAGGGAGGCTCCATTACAGAGGCCCAGTTGATTAGATCGGCCTGTGGCGATTTTCGAGTCCACTCCTGGGGGGCCAGGCAGGTGGGGTTGAAGGCTCCAGGCCTCTGATCACACTTGTTTCTTGCTCCTGGCAACCAGCCACCATCAGCAGGGCCAGTCCGAAAGTCGCCTCGTTAACATGCAGGAACATCTTCGTTGTGCCCACTGCTTAGGAAATTCCAATGGTTTGGGGAATTCTGTGCCGGAAGTAGGAAGACCAAATACTACTTGCTGCAGATCACAGCGTCACCGTGCGGTGCTGAGATTTTAGGGAAAGTGGAAAGGGAGCTTACAAAGTGTCTTTTGAAGGACGACTGTCTTGTTTATGTTACCAGTTCTGGTGTGTGGCGGTAAGAAGACTCCCTAACAGAACAGGGACTGCTATTTTTTTAAGCTTAAAAAAATTTTTTTTTAAGCCCCGGCTGGTGTAGCTCAGTGGATTGAGCACGGGCCTGCGAACCAAAAGATCGCGGTTCAATTCCCCGTCAGGGCACATGCCTGGGTTGCAGGCCGGTTCCCTGCAGGGGATGCACAAGAAGCAACCATACATTGATATTTCTCTCCCTCTCCCCTTCCCTTCCCTTCTCTTCTAAAGATAATAAAAAGTTTAAAAATTTTTTTAATAGATTAAAATTTATTTATTTATTTATTTATTTATTTATTTTTAGGCAGAAGGGAGGGAGAAAGAGAAGGAGAGAAACATCAGTGTGTGGTTGTCTCTCACAAGCCCCCACTGGGGACCTGGCCCGCAACCCAGGCGTGTGCCCTGACTGGGAATTGAACCGCTGACCGATTCTTTGCTGCAGATGGTTCGTTGTTGGAAGTGGGGCCGGGTGAGCCCTACCCCATCGGTGGGTCTCAGTGCGTCCGTGGGGCTGGTTGGGTTGCAGTCCCGGGCAATGCAACTGACGTGTGTGGACGTGTCTGTTTCCCTGCCTCACATTCCTTTTTGCCCATCAAGAGGGCCAAGTTTAATATAGAATATCATTCTCTTACACAAAAGAAAAATGTTTAATTGGTAAGCAATTGAGAGTGTCCTACTTAGATACAAAGACTACAAGAATTAGCCAAGATGTACTTGGAACGGTCTCAGGGAACAGATAAATCAGGGCTGCCAGCCCGCAGCGGAACGGCCTGGTGTGCAGTTTGTGCAGTGAGTGGGGAGAGCCAGTGTGACAGAGGCCCTTTGGTGGCCTTCCAGACCAGTAAGGAGTGGGCGTGGAAGCCATCCTTAGCCTTGGGTTGCAGGGTGCTGACCGCTTGGCACAGGTCTTCAGGGAGAGGAACAAGTGGGAACTGGAAACCTTGAGGGAGAGATTAATGATTAATGGGAGGAAAGGGCTTCTGGAGTCAAGACGCCTACGAAAGTGTTCTCGTTGCGTTAGCGTCCCGCTGCCCGGGCCTGCCTGCCTTGTGGCGGCTCCCCTGACCTCCTCCCCTGACCTCCTCGTGTTGTGGTTGTACATGGTAAACGCCGGCACAAAGCCAGCTAAAACCCACTGCCTGTGCAGGTGGGTTCCAGAGCCAGTCACGACAGCTCCAGCCCCGAACGTGGTGTGGGCACTGGGATCTGGGAAGAAACCAAGTCCAGGGAGCTGTTTCAGGGCTGCACAGCCTCATAGGAGGGGTGGGGCTGAGAACGTAGTGAGCGCACTTCTGACATCGACAGGCAGTCTGTGTGGAAGGGGGCTTTTGCTGTGGCGTAAATGATGTCTGGTGTTTAGTCTGGATGTGGAGTTATTTCATACTGCCCTGCGCATACTGTGCAGACTTCCGGCTGGACATTCAGAACCCATGGGGTGTCCTTTTAGGTGGCCCGATGCGGGACGGGAAGGGAAGGGAGCATACTAGTGTTTGGTAAGGGAGCAGTCTCACATGAGTTAGCTGCATTCCTTCTTGGATGGAGGACTTCCACCGGAGTGACCCGGTGTGGTCTCTGGCGTTCCCCCAGGTTGTAGCCAGCCTGTGGACCACTTGGTCTCCCCGCCTGCTACAGTGCCCGGCCCAGGTCGCTCAATAGGTATTTGTGGAATGGATGGATGACCTAAATTTGGCCAAGTATCAGGAATTCCTTAGTGCTTTGAAAGTCCCAATTATACCGAAAGATTGTGTGTCCTCTGACCTTATTTTGCCTGACTTGGGACATTATGGCTTTCGGAGTATCATGGACAATAAAAGGGTGCTTGCTGTACTGTCGTAAATCCCCAGCAGCAGGCCAGGGGGCAGTCACGCCCCCGGCCTGTGAACTCCTTCGTGACAGGTTTTAAGCCAGGCCTCTCCCTTGTTCTTGTGCATCTGGGCGACCGGCCTTGAAATGCCGAAGTCAGACCTGGTCAACCCTCTAACCTGGTCCCAGCCTGCTTTCCTCCCAGCTCCCTGGAATCTTTCCTACTTCCCCCCCGAATTTCAAATGCACAAAAGAAGCTACAAAACTTATCCTCCGGAACATTTGAAATCTTGCTTCTGGCAGTTGTCGCCAGATTGTCTCACATAAACTTACAAAAATTCTCTACAGGTTTGGAAGGAATGATACTGGAAAGGGACTCGGGAAGGAGGCCAGGGAGGTGTGCACTTGATGCAGAGGGGGGTGTCTTTTCAGAGGACAGAGCCCACCTTAGCCCACCTCGATCAGCTTTGGCAAAGGGTAGCAACCCTTATTCCTTAACACTGGAAATGGCCTTGTCTTTGGACATCTTTCAGACCCATATTTCCTTCTGGGTTCACCTGGGTGATCTTTGCTAGGAATCGGCGTAGCTCAAGGAGAGAAAGGATGGGAAGTTCTAAGACCTTCCCATTCCCTTCCCTGACCTTCACCCCCCAAAGAAGAAAGGTACCAAACCCTTTCTGGTAATCTTCCTTATCGTCCCTCCTTGATTTCAAATGCATAAAAGAAGTTGTAAGTCTCACTTTTTAAAAAGATTTTATTTATTTATTTTTAGAGAGAGGGGAAGAGAGGGAGAAAGAGAAACATTAATGTGCGGTTGCCTCTCACACACCCCCTGCTGGGGACCCAGGCATGTGCCCTGACTGGGAATCAAACCAGCAACCTTTTGGTTCACAGGCTGGCACTCAGTCCACTGAGCCACACCAGCCAGGGCATGTAAACCTCACTCAGTTTTGATGAACGGTGAAAGAGAGGAGCAGGTGGGCTCCCCTTGGCGTCCACAGGGAATGAGGGGCCGGCCTGCTGGCCTGCCCCCAGACCCCTGGGATGGGGCTGCAGGTGCCGGCTGACTCTGGTCACTAGCAGCTGATGTCTGCCTCACACGCCACTGCAGTAACTGTCACTAACCTGAAGGCCCAGGCAAAGGTGACAGTGGATAACCGAGCTGAGGGTTTAAGGAACCACATATAAAAACCGGCGTTCACGTAGCTCAGAAGGAGTTCCTCTGCTTCCCCCACACTCCTGAGGTGCCGCCGTAGGGAGTGTGGTGACGATGTGCCTCCAGCGCCCTGTTACCTTGGCAGCTCCCGGGAAAGGGCTGCGGTCGACATCTTTTCTGGGAGCTGACCAGTGAAACTGACCGCAGACTGCGTGCTTCCCCCGTCCAGAGACGTGAACACGGCGGTGATGGAGCTATTGATCATGGCCTACGCGCTGAAGACGGCCTGTGCCAGGAACATCATTGGAGTCATCCCCTACTTCCCCTACAGCAAGCAGAGCAAGATGCGGAAGAGGGGCTCCATCGTGTGCAAGCTGCTGGCGTCCATGCTGGCGAAAGCGGGTGAGTGCGGCCCTCCAGGGCTCTGCCCTGCCCGAGGTGAGCCCACACCTCGTTTATCCAGTTGGGGACCTCTTCTCTCTAAGCGGTCGTTCACTCGTGTCCTGTGCAGTGCAGGTTAGGGGTGTGTGAGCCTTGATGAGCATTCTCACTTTGTCCTGCGCTCTCCATCTTTGAGTGACTGTCTCTTCAGTGCTCTCCACTCTCCTCCAGTCTCGGCCTTCGTCATCCTTCTGTTTGCTTCCGTTACACTTCCTCTCACCATCGTCCCCTTTTACCTGGCGGTCTTGGCAGTGGGGTGTGATCTTCTGAGCTTCAGGTCTAGACTTATGTATTCGCCTTCGTTAACTGAGTTCTATCTGCGTGCAGACGCATCAGACTGGGTTCTCCTGTTACTGCTTCTGCAGCTCACACGCCCTCTTTCCCTCCCGACTGTCTATCTGCAGAGCAAGCCGCACTCGCTGCTTTTGCTCTGTTTGTAGTCATCACACTCGGGCCTGGGGGTCAAGTGCAGTAATACTTCCTGGTTATTGGAATTACATTTGCCTGACAGTTATTTAAAACTCTAACCAAAAAAAAAAAACAAAAAACCAAACCCCAAAACAAAACAAAACACCACTAACATAGTCGTGTCCTCAGAAATGTACACGTTTTTTTGTTTAGCCCTAATAATTATAATTATGTTAGTCTATCCTCATTGTTTTTCCATAAAAGTATTTCTTGACCCAGCCTTTTATGACATACAGACTTTGATCCAAACCCTGCCATATCTGATCTTTGTATTACATGAGTTTCTTTTTTCCTATATGTACATTACTTTGCTTTTGAGTTTTTTTTGTTTTTTTTTTTAAATTTTATTTATTTATCTTTAGAGGGGAAGGAGAGAGGGAGAGAAACATCAATGTATGGTTGCCTCTAGTGCATCCCCTGCAGGGAACTGGCCTGCAGGGAACCTGCCCGCAACCCAAGCATGTGCCCTGACTGGGAATCGAACTGCAATCCTCTGGTTCACAGGCCCGTGCTCAATCCACTGAGCTACACCAGCCAGGGCTTGCTTTTGAGTTCTTATTCCTTCAGCCTTAGCCACAGTCTTTTAACATTTCTTTCTAAATTCTTTAATCAAGACCTTACTATATTTTACATCAACTTTTGCTTCAGTATTTATTAATTCCATCCTCATATTTTTGCTTCAACCTGAATTTTCTTTTCTTGATTTCGAGGCCTAAGCTAATGATCGTAGCAGAGGAGAGCACTTTTCTCGGCTTCAGTTCTTTGTCCGGGTGGAAGGCCGCAGGCTCCCTTGCGTTAGGGTGGCCAAGTTCTTCAGCTCGTTAAGCTTTGTCGAGGTTACAGGTGAAGTCTGTGACTGACATGCTGCTCTTGTTAGGAAGCAGGAGTCTGGAGTCTAGTCTGTCCCCTGTGGCCATCAATTTGCAGGGGTGAACTTGTAATTCTCTGTTTTAAAATTTCAGGTTTAACTCACATTATCACTATGGATCTCCATCAAAAGGAAATTCAAGGCTTTTTCAGCTTTCCTGTGGACAACCTTAGAGCCTCTCCTTTCCTGCTTCAGTATATCCAGGAAGAAGTGAGGAGCCGCCAGCTAACACCCCCTTGTCCTCCAAACCACCCTGTGTAGTTTTCTCTGGCGTCCAATCCCGACGCTGAGCGCACCTCAGAGATCTTGCCCCTCAGGCTGGGCGCCAAGGCGGCCGGGCAGGGCCGGGTGTCTCGGAGACATTGAAGCAGACCACCCTCCGTGCATTTGTAGCGATTTGCTTATGTTTTCTAAAGTTAAGGTTTTAAGAATTAGTTTCTTTTTATGTTTTTGATGTAATAATACTTTTGCAATGTATGAATGAAATTCTAGCATACATAATTGCTAGTATAGATAAGTGTTATAAGAGGAAAAAATGTAATACTAGCATCCAGGTATAATTTTTCAGTATTTTCTTATTTTTCCTCCAAATCTAGATTCCAAATTACAGAAATGCAGTCATTGTAGCTAAGTCTCCTGATGCTGCAAAAAGGTAAATAATGCCAGACCCTTACAGCAGTCCCCTGTGGGCACTTTCTGAAGTCAGAATGAGCTGCGTGGTGTCTGGGGCCTGGCATCGTGTGGCCTGGGGCGGCTCCCGGGCCCCCCTTTCCCGGCGTCCTTGCCCTGTCCCGCACCACCGAGTTGCCTAGCCCAGTCTCCAGGCCGCCCGGGCAGTTCTCTGAGCCACTCCGTTTCCTCTGAAAGAGAACACTGTTCTTCCTTTGGTTTCTCGGGATGAGGGACACGGACGGGCTGTGAGCCCTTTCTCAGCAGAGTTCCCCCTTCTGAAACAGCGTTAGAGCAGCAGGTGGCACCAACATCACCCACGGTTGGTGCTGGCCCCTGTCTCAGTGCATGTGCCGCTGGAGGTGTTTACATTCTGGCCTGTGACCCACATTCCGTTTTGTGTGAATAATTCCCTTGTGTGTCCCTGAGTGGTCAAATGACGTTCGCATTTTGTGATTGATAAAATGATGGAATAGTGATGCTTGGCTTTTCCTCTCATGAACTTCACTGTCTCCCCGCGTCTCCCCCTCAGGGCCCAGTCGTACGCCGAGAGGCTCCGCCTGGGTTTAGCCGTCATCCACGGAGAGGCTCAGTGTGCGGAGCTGGACATGGACGATGGCCGCCACTCTCCCCCGATGGTCAAAAACGCCACCGTCCACCCTGGCCTGGAGCTGCCATGTAAGATTAGCTCTGATTTTACTTTATTTGTAAACTGAGGAAAGTCCTGAATGGTACGAATGGTGTGTGCCGGTTCCAAGTGCCTGAGGGGCGTTGCTTCGGTCCGCCGTCCGTGAAGGAGGCTGTGCTGCGTGCATTTGCAGACCGTGAGGACGGCTGCCCTTATCTGGGCAGCGCTTAGCGTTCAGAGAGTGTGAAATCATTGTCGCTTTAGTGGAAGAGTTGTGTGTGATGCTGTGGAATCTTCAGCTGTCACACCCAATTGTGCGACACCGTCCACCACTGATGGAGAAGCAGGCTGTGCTGAGACAGCAGCTGCGTGTCCCGGGCTAGTGACCCAGCTGTTCGAATGGACGCCTTCCAGACTTGCGGTCAGCACGGCGGTGGGGAGGCTGTTGATGTCCAAGGAAATTTCGAGTGGCAAAAACCAGCATTCTGTCTTGGAGGATATGTTACGCCTTTAGAGTTTATTTCTTTTAAAGATATGTATCTGTTTGCGCTGCCTTGGAAGCGCACAGCCGTCGGCAGGGGGAGGAGGAGAATGGGTGCGCCTCGCACGGCCTCCTCTCCGAGGGCTGGACAGTCTTGTTTCTAATTATCAGATGCAGGGAACTAACATTGTTACAATGCTGTTGTCCACTCTTCGGACCTTACCTTCTACCAGTTGTCCAAACAGTGTCCTTCAGAGCAAAAGAAAACAGTTTTTTTCAGAGTTGAATCCAGTCTGAGAGAACACATTGCACTCAGTTGTCATTTCTCTTTAGTCTCATTTACTCTGCAATGGCTTCTTTGTTCTGTTTCTTACGACCTTGATCCTTTTTATTTATTTATTTTTAGAGGAGGGGGAGGGAGGGAGACAGAGAAGGAGAGAAACATCAATGTGTGGTCTCCTCTTGTGTGGCCCCTACTGGGGACCTGGCCCACAACCCAGGCTTGTGCCCTGACTGGGAATCGAACTGGCAACCCTTTGATTTGCAGTCTGGCCATACCAGCCAGGGCTGATTCTTGATACTTTTGAAGAGTACAGGCTAGTTTTTTTGTAGAATATTCCATAACTGGGGCATGTTTGTTTCCTTGTGATTAGGTTGAATCAGTTATTACTGTGATGGATGTCAAATGGTGATTTTTCTAATTCCCCCTTTTCCCTTCTGCTTCTTTCATTTGTGTCAGTGTGGGTTCTCAGAATCTTGTCTCGTTCAGTGTGTTCTGATCTAATCCATTGCTACTTTTTATTTTAATGCTCAAATTGCCTCAACTATGGCCAAGGAGAACCCTACAAACTGCCTCCAGTGTGTTTTTGACGTGTGCACTCGGTCACCGCACTCGATGGCCTCTGACTAACCTTGACTCACGTTCTTTTGTAAGTGACAATATATTTATAGCATAAATTCCAAGAAATAAAGTTATTGGGTCAGAGGTTATTTTTTTCAAGATCTAAACAAAATGCCTTTTATAATGAATTGCACAAAATCAAAACTCGAACTTAAGTTCTACTTGTAAATTCCACGGACATTGTTTTAAAATAATACTATATACTTATTTTCTTTAAATGTGCATTAGTGTATCATTTATTTTTAGTAATACCTAAGGCACCATAACCACATTAATACTTGATAGAATTTTGATCTCTGCTACTCCTTCCCAAACAGCATCCAGCTAAAGCATCAGTATAACTTTCATTCATCGAAGAAAATATTTTATTCAAGTTTCCAAAACAAATTTGAGGAGTTCTGTTTGGTTTGAGTTAAAGAAAAAGGCCCAGTTAAAATATGGAAACAAAATTTTCACTTGTTGGAGCTGAAATCGGTGTACATACTCCAGTCAAAGACCTGTCCCATGTGGCGTTTTTAAGTCTAAAAGTCTCCCAGGCCTAACTCCCAGCGGACTCCACCGCTTCTCCCTTCCCTTTCTCTTCTCTCACCGGGCCTTTGGCCTCTTTCTCTGTCTCTGGTCCGTCCACGTGGGCTGGGCAGAGGCCATGTGGGCAGACATCACTGACGTCACCGGAACTGCGCTGTTCCAAGCACGCCGCCCCTTTCCTGCTGACCGCAGCCCTGTCTTCCCTGCTGGCCTCACGCACCCAGACACTGGTGCAGCGCGGCACTGGTGTGGGGCATTTTTCTTTGGTTTCCTTTTAGAGATTTAGTCGAGAGAACTCTGAAAAAATGGTATTTCTTGTAGGTATAATTGAACCTTCCGAATTGGCTACGCTTTATATTTATTTGTTTTGGTGGTTTTCTAGTAACGGAGATGAAGATGTTAGATGGTAGGAAAAGGCCAAAGGAAAGCAAATCCTCACTCTTGGAGTCTGCGTCTTTCAGGAGGATGAACTGTTTGTCTTCCTAGAGCCCAGTTTTCTACAGCAGCCATGGCTCCCCGCCGAGGGCGACTCTGGCGCCAGGGGTTTGCCAGTGTCGAGAGATTGCTGGCTGCCTCAGCCCCGGGGGCGGGGGGTGCTGCTGGCACCCCATGAGCATCCTAATGGACAGTTGTCCGGTCCAGAACGTCGGTGGTGCTGAGGTGGAGAGACCTTTTTGGAGTAACTAAAAGTGAAGCTGTGCAGATGCTCCTGTTTGATAAGCTCGAGTTGGTGCCTCCCTGATGGCAGGCAGCTGACGAGCCTGGGTGCGCGGTGGTGGTCCCTGAACTCTGCCCAGGGTTCGCCGCAGCGGTGACGGCTGTTTATTCCTCATTTTTTTAATGTCAGTCAGACAGTGAGTTTGACATTCCATCGAACTGGAAATAGACCAAGATTAAAATGGCTAAAGAATGAATATTCCTCTTTTGTTCTTTATTTTAGGAGAAAAAGGTTTGGTTAATTGGGAAAACGGTGGAAAGTGTGTGTGTGTGTGTGTGTGTGTGTGTGTGTGTGTGTGTGTGTGTATAAAATCTAAGGATCATTATAAATACAGCATTATTTTACTTGGAAATGCTAACTTCAAAAGCAAGCGATGTTTTCTACTTTCATAGGAACGTTGGAAAATATTTGCTAAATTAACATTTTTACTGCATAAGTTGATGTAGTTTTAACTGATTTCTGGCTACAAGTAATGATACATAATTCATTTATTCTTAAACAGATTGGGTTTTGTTTGATAAAATGGAGGAGAGCAGAATCTTAAACATAAGGTAGTGTGAGCATCCTGTACCCCTGACTTTCAGAACATACGTTACCCGCTCTGGCTGGTGCGGCTCAGTGGGTTGAGTGCAGTCCTGCGAACCAAAGGGTTGCCAGTTCAATTCCCAGTCAGGGCACATGCCTGGGTTGCAGGCCGGTTCCCCAGTAGTGGGTGCGTGAGAGGCAACCACACATTGATGTTTCTCTCCCTCTCTTTCTCCCTCCCTTCTCCTCTCTGTAAGAATAAATAAAATATTTTTTAAAAGAAAAACATATATTACTTTCACTGAAAATTTAAAATTTTGGGTTTTTTTTTCTAGTCAAGTTACTGGCAAATTTTTGGCCTTTTTTTAAGCCTGTCGGGTGCTATTTTTCCTGTTGCCCTTATAATAAAGTCTGTCTGTGTTTTTTCATCGCCATCAAATGGTGTGCTCAGATGTAGACAGTTAGGAGTGGGGAATGAGCGTATGGGGAGCAGGGCTTGATTTTAAAAGCCTTGGTAAACCTCAGTCCTAGTTCTGCCTTTTTCTCATTGTAAACTGAAGGAAGCGCCCTGGCCGGCGTGGCTCCGTGGCTGAGTGCAGGCCTGGGAACTGAAGGGTCACCAGTTTGAGTCCCAGTCAGGGCACGTGCCTGGGTTGTGGGCCAGGCCCCTGGTGGGGAGTGTGGGAGAGGTGTTTGTTTCTCTCTTTCTCCTCTCCTCTCTCTAAAATAAATGGAAGAGGAAGGAAAGAAAACCAGAAGTGTTTCGGCAGAGGCAGGGTCAGAGAGACGTAAACAGGAGGGCTGGCTGTGACGTGCCTTCGACACCACCTAGAGCTGAGTTTCTGTTGACCTTCGATGAAGGTGCTGGCTTGCAAACTTCTTCTTTTTTCACTGAGAAAAATGGTCCAGAAAAGGGACTACATCTCTTTAAGAAGCGGGTAGGTCAACAGAACCACTTATGTCCACGGTTTAACTTAAAGACAGAATTTGAGGAGGCCCTTCCCAATATTGGTGACGGTCCAAATTCAAGTAATTGCTGTTCCTGGGATGGGAAAGCAGGAAATGCCTGTTAAAACTTGCCAGTAGAAGAGCATGGAATTAAGCTCACTTCATTTGCTACTCTGCAGAAAGGCACATGTGCCTATAGGTAGGAATCAGCTACAACGGGCTGTTAATTACTAAGCATTTACTAATTACTAAACTGTATAATTACTCTGAATTTTTAAGTTTTCTCCTCCTCCACTATTAGTTTAGTAAGTATTTCAGAATAACAAAGAGCCTCCTGCACAGGCCGGTGTGTCTCAGTGGACTGAGTGCTGGCCTGCAAACCTGAAAACGGTTGCCGGTTCGTTTCCCAGGCAGGGCACATGCCCGGGTCGTGGGCTGGGTCCTCAGTTTGGGGGTGCGGGAGAGGCAACCATTCGATGTTTTTCTTCCTCTCGTTCTCTCTTCCTTCTCCCTCTCTAAAAATAAGTAAATAAAATCTTAAAAAATTATAGAAAAGCTTTCAAAAAATGTGGAGTACTTAGCCTACTCTTCTGAAGTCCTCTTTCTCGTCCCGGTTTGCACCCGCCCTTTGAGGGTGAGCCCTCATTTCCCGTCCCTGTGCTGTGGGTTGTTTGGGCGCTGTCGGGCCTTTCCCAGAGGGGCTCTCGGTGAGATAAGAAGCCGAGTCTTTGAGGACTAATTGAGGCAGGAAACGGTGGGGGACTCGTGGTCATTGTTTTCGGGAAGCTCTGATTGTGTCCACAGCGTCGTCCTCTGGTAATAAGGTCGCATTGTCCGGGGGAGGTCACTCTGGAAGGAAGCCAGTGCAGGCTCTGCCCGCGCACGGCCCTGCCCTGTGCGCGTCCCGGCAGAGTGGCGGCACTTTCCGTCTCCGTCTGCAGAGCCGGACGTGTGTGTGGTGAGTGGCCAGGCCGGGCCTCGACTGCACTCAGGTCCGAGCTCTTCCCGGCTGCTCCTTCCCCGAACCTGTGCAGGCTGCCGGCTGCCGGCCACCGCGGCTGTTGCCACGCTTGGGAAGCGTGGCTGGTCCCAACTGAGAAGGGCTGCGGTGGGGGTGCGCGCGCAGCGCAAAAGCCGTGTAAAATATTTTAGCACGTCTGCATGCGATTACACACTCAGATACCGTGTTTTGCCATGTATAATGCACACTTGTTGGCCCAAGTTTTTGAGAGAAAAATAAGGATGTGTATTGTATTATACATGGGTAGTGCTGGAAACGCCTTGTATCTGTTCTTGTGTTTTGTGATTGTTACATAAAATTTCTTGTATGATAATATGTTAAAAAATAAATGCTAAAATTTCTTTATAATACAAAAAAGCAAGCATCTAAATATAAATAAATAACTGAATTTTAAAAATTATAACAAAATTTTTTCCCTGAAAGTTTGGACCAAAAACATGGGTGCACATCATACACAGAAAAATACTGTAATATTTGGACATACTGGGTCAAGTAAAATCTATTCATTCCCCCTGTGTGTTTCTACTTTTTGATGTGGCCACTAGAAAATGTGTGCTCTCAACCCTGTGACAGCCCTGCCTGGGGCTCACGGAGGGGTCTGCTGCCTCTTCTCCGTCTGCGTGGCTTGGCCACCACCTCAGAGGGCGAGGGGGTCGGTGATCACGGCTGACGGGGTCTCGTCATTTGTTTTGTTTTGCTAGTGATGATGGCCAAAGAGAAGCCCCCAATCACGGTGGTTGGAGACGTTGGCGGGAGCATCGCGATCATAGTGGTACGGTCGCGTCTTCCTTCGCGGGCAGAGGCGACACCTCTGGCGCTCAGGCGCCTGTCCTCTTGGGCTGCACGTCCCACGACGATGACAGCTGTAAATGGGCCTGCCTGCCCTTCCTCCCCCGTGCTCACGAGGGACAGGCAGAGACTTTACAGAGGTGGACAGGGCCTGTCACAGCCACGTCACAGCCAGCAGGGGTGCAGAGAGCACACAGCGCCCCCGCCACCAGCCCCCTCTGGCCGCCCCAGCGGGGCTGCCCCGTCCTCCAGCTCTGCCGCCATTGCTGGGGTGTGGCCCTCACCTGGGCAGGTGGCCACAGTTGTCGTCCGCCGTCCTCTGAGGGGCCCAGGGAGTTTGGGGGCAGCTCCCTCACCCCCACTTGGGTCTCTGCAGGACGACATCATCGATGACGTGGAAAGTTTTGTGGCTGCTGCGGAGATCCTGAAGGAGAGAGGCGCTTACAAGATCTACGTCATGGCCACTCACGGCATCCTGTCGGCGGAGGCGCCCCGCCTCATCGAGGAGTCCTCCATTGATGAGGTCTGTCCCGCGGCGGGCTCGGGCCTTGCTGCTCCTCTCTGAGGGTGGGGGTGCTCGGTGGCCCACACGGCGGGGGGACAGGCCCCTCTCCAGAGCTCCCGTGTGGGCAGCACACATTGGGGAGACATGTTGGGAAGTGCGTGTCTCTCTTCATTGGGTCCGCCTTGTGCAATTTGACGCAGCGTGTCTGTCGGTGCGACCGATGCCGCACTAGCACGTCCCTTGGGACTGGACTTACCCGATGATGCGGGGCTTCTGCGCAGACCGGCCCCCCCACCACCACCACCCTGCATACAAGGACCAGGGCCTTCGGGAGCTTAGGCCCTGGACCACGTGGGAAACCTTCCCCTCGTGTAGTCGGTTAAGTTCAGTTCGTGAAAACTACACTCTGTGGAGTGAGGTTCAGCAGGTTGGGGCTTGGGCTGTGGGCAAACTTTTCCCAGTGACCACTCGGGACACTCCAGTAACTGTGTGTTTTCCCTCTCCGCCGTGACTAGGTGGTGGTAACCAACACTGTCCCTCACGAGGTGCAGAAGCTGCAGTGTCCCAAGATAAAGACGGTGGACATCAGCCTGATTCTTTCTGAGGCGATTCGCAGAATCCACAACGGCGAGTCCATGGCGTACCTCTTCCGAAACATCACTGTGGACGACTAGCTCTGCGGTGGCCCCGGCCCCGGGGCTCTGGACAGAGACTGAGCCATCGGTCGTGCTCACGGTCACGGGGTCAGACGGTGTCTCGTGCGTCTGGTGGGCAGGAGGCATGCAGGTGGTCACGAGGGAGACAAAGCTCATAGATAAACGGCCTTAACTGTGTGCCCTTGTCCTCCTGCCCTTAGAGAAAAGTTACAGGCACCTTCCGAAAAGAATCTGAAAACCTCTCGGTGTTGAAAAGGAGTTCACTGCAGATAAAGTTTTAACTGCAGGGTTGTTCGTGGTCTCGGCTGCAGGGAGGTGCATGTGGGGCCGACCTTGGTCGGAGGCCGCGGGGGAGGCCGCGGCACTGCCTCCATTACAGTCGCCCTCTCCGCAGCCGCCCTGGGAGCGTTTTCTGGAGATCGCACTTTCCCTGCAAAACTGCTGCACCTGCAGCCCTCGGTCCGAGGGGCGTTCGTGGGGTTACTCACCCTCTATGGGCGTCTGCAGGGCTCTTCAATGGCAAATTAAAGAACCTGTTGTCCTGCTCGTCTCTTTACGCCATTGTGCATACACCCACTATCGTGCCTTCTGGTGGCTGACCCCCATCCCAACTCTGCAGGAGACGAGGGCTCCACGGTAAAGGGTGGCAGGGTCCCTGGCTGGTCCTGGTCTTGGACATGTCTCCTCCTGTAGGCCCTACCCCTTCCTAAGCATTGAGTTGAATAATATAGTTAAGATCTAAGTTTGCAAAAAAAGAGTAGAACTAACTGTACCTCTTTCAATTATAGGCGACACTTGTGTTTATTGCATTGCTTAGGACTGTACTTGGCCTTCCTGCCCCCCTTTTAGGTTATATAATCAATTTGATTTATGCCCAGTGTCAGGTACAAACTTTCTGTGCCTTTGAGGCGAATCCAAGTCAGGGTTGAGTGTCGTCTGGGAAGGAGGGCGTCTGCTGGGCAGGGACCTGGACTTGCCTATGGGTTCTGCTGGTTCCCGAGAAGTAATAAAGGACAGTCCGCACACTCTGCAGTTGTATCTCTTTTTGGGGAGGTTTTGTTGACACCTTTACCTTCAGCCTGTTCTGAATGAGTACAGACATTCTCTGCCTGCAGTCCAGACTCTGAGCACGTTAGCTCTTCCAGCGTACAGGTGAGTTGCCTTTGGTTAACAGGCCATGGAGGGGCATTTTGAGGAAAGAACTTAATTATAGAAGGATGAGCAACTCCTTTTATAATTAAAAGGGGGTAGAGGAAGAGCCACAGACGTTCCTCGGGAGCCCCAGTTCTTATTCGCAGGTCAGACAGGTGATGAGTCCTTCCAGGTCTCTTGTCATCAGTGGTAAAAAGAAAGGTTTGGGTGGGAAGCTCAGGTCTTGGACCCCAGTTCCGTTTGTGCCTCCTCAGTCCCCGCCCAGTAGAGGTTCTTCGGAGCAGAAGCAGGTTGTAGAATACACTCCCTGGGATCGGAATGAGCATGCGTCAGAACAGGCCCTTTCCACCAGAGAGCCCTGGCCTGCCTGGTGGGACTCCAAGCCTCAGGGTGTGAGAATGAAAAGTGGGGGCACTGGGTGGGCCTCTGGGGGCTGATGTGTAGGCTGTGGTTAGTGCAGTCTCAGGAACCTTCTTGTGGAAAGTCACTGAACTTAGACTTGAGAAAGTTGACGCACCCACACACCGCAGCCTCCACTTCAGCTGATGCCTGATCCCATGGCTTTAACTTGACCTTGGTGATCTGGCTTCACATTTCATAAGTGGGTGATGCACAGGAGAGGATTGGGACTTTGCTCCCCTGAAGATACCAACAACCACCTGAAGGCCTGCGTGCCTGGCACTGGGGATCTAATGGTGAACGGGCCTGCAGAGGCACCCTCATGGAGGTCAGAGGTTGGAGGTTGCAGCTTTGGGCTGGACAAGGTTCTCAGGGACCGCTGGCTTGTGGGAACAGAGGGTTCCTGCAAGTTACATTTTATCAGCTCAGACTAAACATCTGAATCTGAAAGGAGTTACCGTATTTTTAGATGCATCTAAAAATACCATATAAGACACCGGGCCATAAGACGAGCCCAGGTTTTACAGGAGGAAAATGGGATAATTTTTTGAAGCAAAAAATGTGGTAAAATATTTAATAACCTGTGACCCCGTTCCACCGCTGCTGACCCCCACCCACGGCGACCCAGGTAAGGTACTTTCAGACTGTAAGATGCATCCTCCTTTCCCCCAAATTTGGGGAGAAAAAAGTGCATATTATAGTCCAAGAATACGGTAAAACAGGACTAAGTAGAGGTGCGTGCACAGGCTCCCTGCAGCGTCCCTGAGTGCCGCACGTTCTGGAGGAGCCCGGTGTGGGGAAGCCGGGCCTGTGGAGAGCACCGAACTGGCCCAGCGCGAGTGTGCGGTAAATTAGGCCCACGAAGCAGGGAAAGCGCCGTCACCTGGTAACTAACTGGCATCAAATGGGCGCGGAGTGGTCTTTTCTAAGCCACCCTTCCTTCGATGGCGCAAAATGACGTGGAAACTGCCCCACCGGGGCCAGGGCATCCGCACTGCGGCCCTCAGGTCTGGGCCACTGCTCAGTGTAGTGGGACAGCGATGGACGCGCAGCGTCGGTGCCGCGGTGCCCGGTACCTCTGGTTCCTCACCGGCCTCGGCGTTGGTTCCCCGATAAAAGGGCCTCGGCGCAGCCGTGTGCCGCCTTTCCTCGGGGGCGTTTACTGAGAACAGGAACGGCGGTGCTGGGGAGTGCGGCCGGCCGAGGCGACCCCAGCTCCCTGTGGGAAAGGGTCCCCAGGGGAGTGGCCGCAGGCCCCGCGAGGTGCGGACTCCTGCGCCCTCCGCCCTCCTCTGGGGGCGCGCCCCTCCGCGGAACCCTCGGGCACGCGGGGGCCACCGTCGCTGGGTCGCCCCCGCCCCGCCCCTTTTCAAACGTCCGCTGGCCGAGCGAGACCCGGCGCGAGGGGAGGGCGGCCCGGGGCTGGAGCACAGACCGTGAGGAGCCAGCGGAGGGCTGGAGGTGCCCCAACCCGGCCCGGGAGGCGGGTGGCGGCTCGGTTCCGGGAGCCAGAGCGGCTGTGGGGCGCACCTCTCTGAACTCCAGGCAGACTCCTGACAGAGCCCAGAAGCAGGGCAGGACGCCCCTGGGGCGCCCACAGGGTCCCCGAAAGCCCACAGTGGCCGTGAACAGTGAGGGGGCACGGCCAACGGTCCGGCCGCGGGAGCTGACCGCCCGAGACCACGCACGATGCCGCCCGCGACGCCTGCCTCCAAGGTCTCCCTCCGGGAGCTGGCCGACCTGGCCATCGGCACCCCGGAGGTGGGCGCCGTGAACTTCACAGCCCTTCACACGCTCATCGTGGCCATGCTCAAGAACCTCCACTTGCAGGACACCCGGGTGGACTTCCAGACTCTGTCGCCTGAGCAGAGCCGCTCCTTTGAGAGCGCACGGGCCTCGCAGAGCACCCCGCAGATGGGTGTGTCCAAGGAGAAGCGGAAGAGCAGCGTGGCCAGGGTGCCGGCCCAGACGCTGGAGAGCCAGGTGAAGGACCTGGGCGGGCAGGTCCAGGACCTCGGCCGGCAGTTCAAGACCATGGACAGCCAGGTGCAGAACATTCTGGATCACATGCAGTACTTCACTGCCCTGGTAAGCGGTGTGGACTTGGACACCCAGGAGTGGCCAGAGAGTCAGGAGATGGGAAAGGACTTGGCCCAGGAGGTGGCCACACCCGCCACTGACGTGACCAGGCCCACTGCCGACATGGCCACGCCCACTATTGAGAAGACCAAGCTAGTAAAGGCCACACCAATGCCCACGATGGACACGCCTGTGCTGGGGGTGACCACGGAAATGCCTGAGGGGGCCGTGCCAGTGCCCGGCATGGCCACATTGGTGCCGGAGAAATTGCGAAGGGGGCTGATGAAAATGTGGAAAGACAAACCGAAGGTGAGAGCATTTCGGGCCCCTCCAAACCGCCCCCCAGCCCAGGTTGGGGCTGAGTCCCAAAGGCGGCCACGACCGCCCACCACTGCGGGGAGGAGGCCAGTACAGGCCGGCTCAGAGATGGTGGGGGTGCTGGGCCTTGGTGCAGCCCAGGCCCACAAAGCCCCCACTCCACCTTGCAGGCCATGGAGCTGCTCCGGACGGTCACGCAAGATGCGAAAACGCTGGAGGAAGTCCGGGAGAAAGCCCAGGAGCTGACCCCAATTGTGAGGGCGGTGGGACCCCCTCTTGCCCTGCATGGCCCTCCCTCCCCCAGTTTGCATGGAGGCTCACCCTCCCCTTATCAGACACCCAAGGATCCTGAACCCATCTAGAGGGGTGCTGCCGGCTTCTCAGAATAATTCTTTGAATTTCGTCTAAAGCATAAAGAAATAAGGTGGTGGGTGTTGAGACACACTGTCCAGTCCAAGGCGCGGCTGAGATGGAGAGAGTTCTGGGGTCATCCCCTCAGTCCCCCAACCTCCGTCTGCAAGCTCAGCAACACCTTCACTTGGCTCTGTTTTCTTGGGGGGTTAGGGCTGAAGACTGGGGGCACAGCAGGAGGCAGAGAAGAGACTTGAGGGAACGGAGAAGCTCCCAGGAGCCAGAGGGGAGGCTGAGACTCGGGGGACCTCCGCCCACTGACCACATTTTGCCCACTTGGGTCATTCCAGGCCTTGAAACCTGAGTAGGGCTCATTTTTGCTCTGGGAAGCTTTGCTTTTTTAAAGTGAGGTGTTTTGGGTTTTAGGTTGTTTTATTTTTTAGAGAGAAGGCATTTTATTTACCTTTAGATTCTTAGATTCTGAAGGTTTGCAGAAGGTTTAAATTCCAGCAATTTGCTTTTAAACAACATGGCGTCACAGACGCCCTCAAAGGACCCAGTAACGCTTGTCCTTGGGCAGCAAGGTCAATTCTGTTCTGCATCTGGCAGTGTCTCACTGGTGCTTTGTCCAAAGGGGGTCCCAGGACCAAAGGCTCCCAGGCCAGCATTTGCTCCTGGCCCATCTGTCCCCACTGCCACCCTACCACAACCCATGTCCCCTCCCTCTTCTGTCCCCCGTTCCTCCAAGACCCACATGTCTCTCCCCCTTGCCCCTGTGTGAGTGTGTGTGTTCGGGGCCACAGGAGGGCCTGCTCCACCTCTGAACCCTTCTTCCAGAAACTTCTGCAACGGATCGAGGAAGTAGAGCGGAGAGTCAGAAACCGGGAGGAAATCCTGGTAATGCCTGCCAGTTTTGTGGGAAGGGCCCACAGGGTTGGGGGGATGAGTGCCCCAAGCTTGGCTCCCTCTCGGCACCCCTGAGCTTCTGCCATGGATGTCCGTGTCCCCCCAGGGAGGACGAACTCTGCCCTCTGCCTCCCGGGTGCTGCCCCTGGGTTGAAGGGAAAGCCCTCCCATCCTTTCCCCATGCTCCACCAGGGCCCCCATGAGACAGGAAGCCAGTGGCCCAAGACTCCCAGTGACATCTCCTTGGGGCTAGGGCTGCAGCAGGACCCCCCCCTTCCTGTCAGCTCAGTCCTGCTCCTCAAATGTCCTGGGATTAAAGGAGCCATGTGTGTGTGCGCATGCACACCCGTGCTGCTGTCTGTCGCCATCAGGAACCCTTGAGCCGGAAGTTGACTTTGATACCCCCTGGGGAAGAAGTCACCATGGTCACCTGGGAGGAGCTGGAGCAAGCGATCGCTGATGGCTGGAAGGTCTCCTAAGGGGTGAACAAATCCAAGGGGGGGGGCAGGGGTGTGGCAGCGGTCCCCCCCAAGCCTCTCCCTCTGCCCTGTCATACGGCGTTCCACTGCGTGGACATTCATAGTTTGTTTCCCAGTCTCCCACCATGGCCGTTTCTGGTGAGCTTCCCAGTTCTACAACAGCTCTCCAGGAGTGGACACACGCGTAGGGCCAATTCCCAGCAATGGAGTGTGCGTTTGTGGTCTGGGTACCTTTTGGCTAATCGCCTCTCATGGGTGGGTTCCCATGTAGACCACCCCCAGCCATGGAGGAGAGAGGTCCCCTCTTGCGGTTCCCCCAGCACTGTCTGTAAGGCCCTCATTCTTTGAGCTTGGCCACCCACTTGGATGGAGAAGGGCACCCGGTTTACTTTTGCAGTGCTTCAAAGTTCTTTCGCAGCCTGTCCCGAAATGCACAAGTCCCTGCACTATCGGTGGACAAAGGTGGACCAGCCGCGGCAATGACACCTCTCTAGGGAAGGGGCCCTTTCGCTGACGGGGGAACTTGCACAGAGGTGCCGGGGTAACCAGATCCTTTTCGAGCCCCGTGCTTGCTTCATCTGAAAAGAATGGGGATTTTTACATGGCCATCCAGGATGAGGATCAGCTGACATTCGGTCTCGACATTTTCCTATCCCTGGCTTTGCGCATCTCAAAAAGGGTCATACAGATAGGCAGAAACAACGGGGAGCAGGGAGGAGAGGGAACCCTTTGGCGCCACCACATGGCCATCTGGGGTGCAACAAATATTTCTGCACAATAGACAACCTGCTGTTTTCTGAACTGGTGGGGGGGGGGGCGGTCTTTGGAGGAAAGTACCACCGAAAAGCTTTGGAAGAGGAGTCTGCAAACGGGAGGGGTGGCCTAGGAACAGGCAGCCTCTGCTTTCACTGTTTTTAAAATAAAAAAAGATTTTTTTATTACTGTTGATGTGCAATGTTAGTTTCAGGTGTACAACACAGTGACTAGGCATTTCTCTGCAGCATTTATATATAATGCTATTACAGTTGTTCTATTCCCCCTTCATTCCCCTCCACCCTGCACACCCCCTCCCCCACCATTCCCTCCTTTAGTTTATGACCATGTGTCACAAGTTCTTTAGATTCTATATTTCCCATACTATTCTTGCCCCCCATCTATTTTCTATCTACCATCTATGCTAATTTTCTGTACCTTCTCCCCCCTTCTCCTTCTCCCACTCCCCTGTTGCTAACCCTCCATGTGATCTTCATTTCTATGGTTTACTCCTGATCTAGCTGTCCTCTTAGTTTGCTTTTGTTTTAGGTGTGGTTCTTAATAACTGTGAGTTTGCTGTCCTTTCACTGTTCCTATTTTTTATTTTCTTTTTCTTAGATAAGTCCCTTTAACATGTCACATAATAAGGGCTTGGTGATGATGAACTCCTTGAATTTGATCTTATCTGAGAAGCACTTTATCTGCCCTTCCATTCTAAATGAAAGCTTTCCTGGATAGAGCAATCTTGGTTGTAGGTCTTTGGATTTCATGACTTGGAATACTTCTTTCCAGCCCCTTCTTGCCTGTAAGGTCTCTTTTGAGAAATCCCCTGACAGTCTGATGGGAACTCCTTTGTAGGTGACTGTCCCCTTAGCTCTTGCTGCTTCTAGGATTCTCTCTTTCATTTTAATCTTGGCTAATGTAATGATGATGTGCCTTGGTGTGTTCCTTCTTGGGTCCCGCTTCTTCGGGACTCTCTGAGCTTCCTGGACTTCTTGGAAGTCTATTGCCTTTTGCCAGATTGGGGAAACTCTCCTTCATCATTTGTTCACATAAGTTTTCAGTTTCTTGCTCTTCCTCTTTGCCTTCTGGTACCCCTATAATTCGGATGTTGGAGCATTTAGAGATGTCCTGGAGGTTCCTAAGCCTCTCCTCGTTTTTTTGAATTCTTGTTTCTTCATATTTTTCTGTTTGGTCATTTTTTTCTTCCTTCTGGTCTGCTCCCTTGATTTGAGTCCCAGTTTCCTTTCCATTGCTATTGGTTTCCTGTGTGTTTCCCTTCATTTCAATTAGTTTAGCCTTCATATGTTCCTCTAATTTGTGACTAAAGTCAACCAGTTCTGTGAGCATCCTGATCACCAGTGTTTTGAACTGTGCATCTGAAAGTTTGGCTATTTCTTCATCTCTTAGATTTATTGGCTCTGGGACTTTGAGTTCTTCTTGAGCCATGTTCTGGTCTGTTTGCACCTGTTACGTAGGAGGAGTGGAGCCTTAAGTGTTCACCAGGGTGGGGCCACCCAGGGCACTGGTTTGTGATGCTGTATGTGGGGGCGGGGTCAGAGAGGGACAATAGTGGTCCCCTCTGCTGCTTCCTGCCCGCCACTGGGGCCTGCGTGGTCTGTCTCACCGCTCGCTCCTTCGCCAGTTTATCTGAGTGTGAATGTGTGACCACGGTCAGCCCTCAGTGGGTCTGCCCGCTTCTCCACACCTGGGATTGGCCCACGGCTGCCTTCGTGCCTGAGTCATATGCCCGGGTCGGTCCGGTGGATCTTTCATGCCTGACCCCGCTCTGTTGCTGGCTCTGCCCCTCTTACCGGTTTGGCTGAATGGTTCGTTGTTGTCAGACTTCTGTATAGTTCAATTTTCTGTGGTTTGGCTGCATTTTTGTTGCTGAAACTTTGTTGTTTTTAAACTTGGTTGTGCGAGAAGGTATAGTGTTTCCACCTGCGCCTCCATCTTGGCGGAAGTCTCTCTGTGCGGCATTTCTTTAAAAGCTGAAGCTGATGTACAAATACCATTGTTGTGTGTTATGAGTGAGCCCGCATGTTCTCAGGGAGCCAGCAGCAGGCACCTGTGAGACTGTAAATAAATGCCTGGAGACATTCTGCTCCTCCTAGAGCTAAGAAATTGTCAGCATTTTGACAGTTCTCAGAATCATGAACAGCTCCAGAAGCAAGGGAGAATATAAATGCCACAAGCTTTTGAGAAGCTAGAGGTCAAGTATAGCTCAGTGGATTGAGCGTAAGCCTTCGAACCAAAGGGTTGCTGGTTTGATTCCCAGTCAGGGCACATGCCTGCCTGGGTTGCAGGCCAGGTCCCCAGTAGGGGCACATGAGAGGCAACCACACTTTGATGTTTCTCTCCCTCTCTCTCTCCTTCCCTTCCCCTCTCTAAAACATAAAGATTTAAAATCTTAAAAAAAGAAAAAGCTAGAGGACAAGCCAGGTGATGACAGTTATCTGCCCAGGCCCGTGTCAAAGTCTGGGATCCCGTGACGTTTGACAGCCCCTCTCTGACGAGCCCGCAGGCGGTGTCTTCTGTTCTCCTGGGTTTAGTGATGCAGACTTTTCTGGTTCTCTAGCCTCATTTTCACATGTACAGCTGACTCGTGATTTATCACTTCCGGGTTAGCCAATCTTCCTTTGGGTACTTGCTGTCTTTCCCTTCTTGAATTTGCCCAAGAACAAGAGTACAGGTGGTCAGCAGCATCCCAAGGTGCGGGGCTGGGATGCAGGCCTCGAGATGGTTTGGGCTTCTCGCTGTCTCCCTCCCCAAGGGCCGGCGTCCCTGCCCACTGGCGCTCACCCCTGTGCCCTCCCTGGGGCCTGGGGTCGTGTTCTTCACTCCAGCCTGCCAACCTCTGCTTGCTTGTTTGCTTGCTTGCTTTCTCATTTATTTTTTAAAATTTTCATTGTTGTTCACAACCTCTGCCATTTATTTATCTATCTATCTATCTATCTATCTATCTATCTATCTATCTTTTAGAGGGGAAGGGAAGGAGAGAGGGAGAGAAACATCAATGTATGGTTGCTTCTGGTGCATTCCCCTGCTGGGAACTGGCCTGCAACTCACAAATGTGCCCTGGCTGGGAATAGAACCGTGATCGTCTGGTTCGCAGGCCCATGCTCAATCCACTGAGCTACACCAGCCAGGAGCAACCTCTGCCCAGCCAGGAGCAACCTCTGCCTTCTGATCGCAGTGTTTAGTTGCTGCCAGAGCAGGGTCTACCCCTTTCGCTTTGCTCTGTGTTTTCTGTATGTCCCTCCGCTCCTCTGGGATTGTACCATGTGAACCCCCTTGCTGTTTCTTTGCCTGTGTATTTTTTATTGTTCTTTTTTTTTGCCCGTATATTTTTTTACTTATTTTCTTAGTGGGTCCCCAGCAGTATTCAGGGTAGAGCTGACCACTCTGCACTGCTGAGACCACACCTTTCTGGGGACTCTGTCCCCTGAATTCTGAGTGTTTTCCAGACTGGCCTCTAGAAGCAGGCACCGGCCCCTCCAGCCTCGTGGGTGGTCCCTTTCTCAGCTTCAGAGAGTTTCCTCCTGGGCGTGCCAGTCACTTCTTCGCGGGGCTGAAGGGGACTTGCTGCAGAACCTCCAAGTCATCTCTGTGCTTCTGCTTTCTGATTCTTTGTCCTGTGGCCGCCACCTGCTGAGCACTCAGCTTTTCTCCCGGGCTCAGGGAGCGTGCTGGGTCCCCGTTAGCCCTCTCTCCCACTGCAGCCTGGAAACTCCATTGAAGCCCCAGGCAAGGCAGCTTCCAGGGACTGCTGACCTCCATTAGTGAGCAGCCAGGGCCCAGAAATCCACTCTCTCATTGTTGGTTTTGGGTTTCAGATTCTGGTTGTTACAGAAAGGAAGCCAAATGTATTCCTCGTGACTCTTGTTTGGGTTGGACACGGAGATGGTCCCTTAATTCATTCTGTTTAAACAGATTTTCGTGTTCTCCCGTGTGGGTGCACCATACATCCATCAGTCCCGTATCGGTAGCCTGTTTTTGTAAACAACGCCACAGGCTCAGTCTTCATGCCTGTTCCTTGGCAGCCTTTTGTGAGAGTCAGTAGAGAGCATTTCTGTCTGTGGATGTTCTGGGTCTAAGGGCTTGTGTGTCTGCATTTTAAATACATAGTTCAGTCGCTCCGCAGCACACGCTGCTGCCGTCAGCAATGCGCCGATCACGGGCCGGACTTCGTATCTTAAACTTAATTACTCGTGTTCTTTGCGGCACGGACCCCTTGTGTATTGTGGTGGCCCTGTCTTTTAGGAGGGAGGTTATATATTATGATGCCATTTGCAAATGTGCAGATCCTCCAAAGTCTGGAGAACTGTCCTTCTAGAGTGTCCAAGTCTTTCTTTGTGTTTAGCTTATATTTGGGGACCAGCGGGGACTTTCCCCCAGACGTCTTAAGTGTTCCTATTTGGACAGCCCAGATTTCCTTCCCTCCGAACCTCACAGTATTTTTACTTGAGGTCTCTGCTTTCTGTCTTCCTCTTCAACCAGAGCTCAGAGTCAACAACAGCACTTCTTAAGCGCAAAAGCTTAAAGCAGATTTCCTTACCATCAAATGACATGGCTCCAAGTGCGTCCTCCACCAAGAGTTCAAGTGTCGACAAAGCTCCAGATTCTGCTGGTGGCCTTGGCCCAGATCAGACCTTACCAGGGACCAGCAGGTCAGGACATCCCTCTGAGGGGGTGCCTGGCAGGGAACAAGGCAGACTCTCCTCTGCCACTGGGATTCCTGGGAAAGAACAGCGCCCAGTGGCCCGTGATGAAGCCAGCCTGGCCAAAACCCAGCACCCCTCTGAGTCCCAGCTCAGAATGGAGCCTAGAGAGCAGTTTGGCTTCGCACATCCAAGGAGAGAGGAACAAGACACACACCCTGGCCCCGCTCCAGAGGACTTAGCCTCAGCTAGAGTTGGGCGTCATCACGTGTACCCAGACCCGGCTGGGGCGGTGCACGTCAGCCCAGGTCAAGTCTATGCATGGCCAGATCAGCATGGGTTAGAGCCACTTGTCCCAGATCAGCTTGACCTGCTACAGCCTAGCACTCACCCACATGGTGTGTTCCCCTTCAGCACAGGCCAGCTGGGTGTGATGCCCCCTGGAATGGGTGGGCAGGAATCAGTAGCCCCTGGCACAGGTCAGCATGACATGGCGCCACGACGGGTACCTGGCACAAAGCAGCAAGGATTGGCACTACCTAGTGTGGAGCAGCCTGGTGTAGTTCCACTTGGCACATATCAGCAAGGTGTGAGACTTCCTGGCACAGACCAGCGTGGTATGGAACAGGCTGGCGTGGACGAGAGTGGCATGGGGCCACTTGGCATAGATCAACATGGATTTGCAATTTTTGGCACGGATCGACAAGGACTGGTTCCCCCTCTTACAGACCAGCATGTTTTGGGATCACCTGGTCTGATGCAAGCTGTCACAGATCAGCAAGGTTATATACAGCTCAGCATGGAAACACCTGAATTCATACAACTTGGCATACAGCAGCCTGGTTTGGTGCAGCCTGGTGCTTATCCACCTAGTTGGGTTCAACCTGGTGCATATCCTGGTTTGGTCCAGCCTGGAGCAGTTCATCCTGGTTTGGTCCAGCCTGGAGCAGTTCAGCCTGGTTTGGTCCAGTCTGGAGCAGGTCAGCTTGGTTTGGTCCAGCCTGGAGCAGTTCAGCCTGGTTTGGTCCAACCTGGTGCAGGTCAGCCTGGTTTTGTCCAACCTGGTGCAGGTCAGCCTGGCACAGGGCAACCTGGTTTTGTCCAACCTGGTGCACGTCAGCCTGGTTTGATCCAACCTGGTACAGGTCAGCCTGGTGCAGATCGGCGTGGTTTTGTCCAACCTGGTGCAGTCCAGCCTGGTATGGTGCAACCTGGTGCAGGTCAGCCTGGTTTTGTCCAACCTGGTGCAGGTCAGCCTGTTGCAGGTCGGCCTGGTGCAGGTCGGCCTGGCGCAGGTCGGCCTGGTTTGGTCCAACCTGGTGCAGGTCAGCCTGTTGCAGTTCGGCCTGGTGCAGGTCAGCCTGGTTTGGTCCAACCTGGTGCAGGTCAGCCTGGTTTGGTCCAACTTGGTGCAGGTCAGCCTTTTGCAGGTCGGCCTGGTGCAGGTCAGCCTGGTTTTGTCCAACCTGGTGCAGTCCAGCCTGGTGCAGGTCAGCCTGGTTTGGTCCAACCTGGTGCAGGGCAGCCTGGTTTGGTCCAACCTGGTGCAGGGCAGCCTGGTTTGGTCCAACCTGGTGCCCATCAGCCTGGTTTTGTCCAACCTGGTGCCGGTCAGCCTGGTGCAGGTCAGCCTGGTTTGGTCCAACCTGGTGCAGGTCAGCCTGTTGCAGGTTGGCCTGGCACAGGGCAACCTGGTTTTGTCCAACCTGGTGGAGTCCAGCCTAGTGCAGGTCAGCCTGGTTTTGTCCAACCTGGTGCAGGTCAGCCTGGTTTTGTCCAACCTGGCTTTGTCCAGCCTGGTGCAGGTCAGCCTGGCTTTGTCCAGCCAGGTGCAGGTCAGCCTGGTGCAGGTCAGCCTAGTGCAGGTCAGCCTGGTGCAGATCAGCCTGGTTTCATCCAGCCTGGTGCAGTCCAACCTGGTGGAGTCCAACCTGGTGGAGTCCAGCCTGGTGCTAGTCAGCCTGGTTTTATCCAACCTGGTGCAGGTCAGCCTGGTGCCAGTCAGCCTGGCTTTGTCCAGCCTGGTGCAGGTCAGCCTGGCTTTGTCCAGCCGGGTGCAGGTCAGCCTGGTGCAGGTCAGCCTGGTTTGGTCCAACCTGGTGCAGATCAGCCTGGTGCAGGTCAGCCTGGTGCCGGTCAGCCTGGTTTGGTCCAACCTGGTGCAGTCCAACCTGGTGCCGGTCAGCCTGGTTTGGTCCAACCTGGTGCAGGTCAGCCTGGTGCAGGTCAGCCTGGTTTTGTCCAACCTGGTGCAGTCCAGCCTGGTTTTGTCCAACCTGGTGCAGTTCAGCCTGGTTTTGTCCAACCCGGTGCAGGTCAGCCTGGTTCTGTCCAACCTGATGCAGGTCAGCCTGGTTTTGTCCAACCTGATGCAGGTCAGCCTGGAGCAGTTCAGCCTGGATTTGTCCAACCTTATGCAGGTCAGCCTGGAGCAGTTCAACCTGGTTCTGTCCAACCTAGTGCAGGTCAGCCTGGTTCAGTCCAGCCTGGTGCAGGTCAGCCTGGTTCAGTCCAGCCTGGTGCAGGACAGTCTGGTTCAGTCCAGCCTGGTGCAGGTCAGCCTGGTTCTGTCCAACCTGGTGCAGGTCAGCCTGGTTCAGTCCAGCCTGGTGCAGGTCAGCCTGGTTCAGTCCAGCCTGGTGCAGGACAGCCTGGTTCAGTCCAGCCTGGTGCAGGTCAGCCTGGTTCAGTCCAGCCTGGTGCAGGACAGCCTGGTTCAGTCCAGCCTGGTGCAGGTCAGCCTGGTTCAGTCCAGCCTGGTGCAGGTCAGCCTGGTTCAGTCCAGCCTGGTGCAGGTCAGCCTGGTTCAGTCCAGCCTGGTTCAGTTCAGCCTGGTGCAGGTCAGCCTGGTTTTGTCCAACCTGGTGCAGGCCAGCCTGGTACAGGTCAGCCTGGTGCAGGTCAGCCTGGTTTTGTCCAACCTGGTGCAGGTCAGCCTGTTGCAGGTCAGCCTGGTTTGGTCCAACCTGGTACAGGCCAGCCTGGTGCAGTCCAACCTGCTGAAGGTCAGCCTGTTGCAGGTCAGCCTGGTGTAGGTCAGCCTGGTTTTGTCCAACCTGGTGCAGGTCAGCCTGGTGCCCATCAGCCTGGTTTTGTCCAACCTGGTGCAGGTCAGCCTGGTTTTGTCCAATCTGGTGCAGGTCAGCCCGTTGCAGGTTGGCCTGGCATAGGGCAACCTGGTTTTGTCCAACCTGGTGGAGTCCAGCCTGGTGCAGGTCAGCCTGGTTTGGTCCAACCCGGTGCAGGTCAGCCTGGTGCAGGCCAGCCTGGTTTTGTCCAATCTGGTGCAGGTCGGCCTGGTTTTGTCCAACCTGGTACAGGTCAGCCTGGTTTTGTCCAACCTGGTGCAGGTCAGCCTGGTGCAGGTCAGCCTGGTTTTGTCCAACCTGGTGCAGTCCGGCCTGGTTTTGTCCAACCTGGTGCAGGTCAGCCTGGTTTTGTCCAACCTGGTGCAGGTCAGCCTGGTTTTGTTCAGCCCGGTGCAGGTCAGCCTGGTGAAGGTTGGCCTGGTTTGGTCCAACCTGGTGCAGATCAACTTGATTTGGTCCAACCTGGAATGGATCAGCATGGTTTGGTTCAGAGTGGCATATATGCACCTGGTTTGGTCCAGCCAGGGGCCTATCCCCGTGGTGTGGTCCGGCCTGGTGTATATCCACATGGTTTCATGCAGCCTGGTATGGATCAGCGTGGTTTGAGGCAACGTGGTGCAGATTACCAAGGATCGGCACCACCAGGCACAGAGTTTCGCGGCTTTCCACCCCATGCGGATTCTCCAACTTTCATATCACCACGCCCATATCAGCATGGCGTGGTACCTCCTGGCAGAGATCAGCATACCCAGGTGTCACCAATTCTGGCAAAGAAAGGTTTGACGTCGCCAGGTACAGAGCGGCGGGGTCCAACACCAGGAAGCACAGTTATGGAACCTGCACGTCCAGATCAGCAGCATTTGGGCCCACCTGGCCCATATCAGCGCGACCACACACCCTCGATCCTGGACTCCCAGGGGTTCATGCACCCTGGCCCGCGTGGCCCAGGGTACCCAGATGTCAGTAAGCGTGTCCAAATAGGTTTGGATCCAAACCAACCTGAGGCTTATATCCAGACTCCCCCACGCCAGGACACCACCTCTTTCAAGAGTACAGACTCCCTTCCTCGCCTCTACCAAGTCTCATCGGAAAGGAGCAACATCCCGGGCGAGAGACACGACTCACTGGAAAGAGTGGCTCCCAGCTTCCCCGTGGCGGTGGAGACCTTCCGTATGATGGGGGAGCTCATTGCCCTCTACATGGAGCTAAAGGAGAACATGAAGGACCTGGATGAGAAGAAGGCTGGCCAGTCGGACTTGGAGAAGATCCAGTATCTGCTCTCCCTGATGGGTGGGTGCCTCTGGCCGGGAGGGGAGGCCACAGTCTTTGTCCCGAAGTGATCTCACCTTTTCCCTGCCCCCACGCCACCCCCACCCCAATCCTGACCTCAACTCCTGGCAGCCGGGCTCCTCCCCGAGTCCCAGAACATAGGACGTGTCCATTCTTCATCATTCTGGGTTCTCCTAGAGCCTCCAGGCTCCCAAAGGTGGAACCAGCAGGAGCAAAGGAGCCTCAGGAGCGGAATGAGGCAGGGCCACGTCCGTTGTGGCTGGCAGAGGCTGTTGAATATTTAAACCTAACTTTGTCAATTCACGGCTCCAGGTCCAGAATAATTCAGTGTAGAGTTGGGTTGGGAGTTGGGTGGATTTAGTGGGTCAGTGGTCCCCCAGGGGTATTGAGCCTTAGGTAGATTTCTTTTTTATTTTTTAATATTTTAGAGTGGGGAAGGGAGAAGGAGGGAGAGAAACAGCAACATATGGTTGCCTCTCACATGCCCCCTACTGGCGACCTGGCCTATAGCATGTGCCCTGACTGGGAATTGAACCAGAGAGCCCTTGGTCCACAGCCCAGCGCTCCATCCACTTAGCCACACCAGCTGGGGCTCCTTAGGTGAATTTCTTATGGGCCAGGGACACTCCTGTCTCCTTCCTTCCCATCCCGTCCCCCCAGGCCTGTATTCTCTGGGGTAGCTTCATCATGGGGCCTGGAAATGGGGATGAGAAGCCCACTGGGAACCCTACCATTCCTGACTCGAAGGGTCCTGTTTTCCATAGTGCAAAAGACTATACCGCCTGAAATGCAGGAACAGGTGAAGACCTTAAAGACCTTGACCAAAGAAGTCCGGCAGGAGAAAGCAAAAGTACGTACGGAGGGTTGCCACCTTCGCCCTGCGCCAGGAAGCCCCCCACCCCTGGTGCTGTGATACCTGACAGTCCTGTCACATACTGGCTGAGCCCCTGGGTCCCGACAGTCCCGTCATGTAGGGGCGGCCCTCGGACAGTACCATGTCTGTTTCCCAATTGAAGACCGGACGCTCAGAGCTGTTGGGATGCAGGTGTGCTGACCAGAAGGCCCGAGCGCGTCCTAGCGCCCGCACCTGTTCCCAACAGAGCCCAGGCCCCGGAGCAGCCCCGGAGCCAAGTGTGTGGGGCCATCTGGGGCCAGCAGCCACGGCAAGGGGCTGCTGGGCCTCCGGTGCTCCCCTTGTGGCCACCTGTGTACGTCCCTGGGATGGAGGAGTGGATGGACGTCAGAAAGGGACCTTGGTTTTGGTCAGAAGGTTGGATTAGGATTAAGGAGTGGGGGAGGGGCTTGCTCAGGCTGAAGAGGTACCTTCAGAAAGCCAAGAACTCCAGCCTGCCTGGCCCTCCCCCTCCCCCTCCCCCTCCCTGGGGCTTGTAGATGGACAAGATACAGAGGATCCTGGAGGGTGAAGTGCATCCAGAAATGGGGAAGGAGATGAAAGGCGGCCAGCTGAGCCTGCAGCTGGGCATCCTCAGGTAGGTGCCCCAACCCTGACCTCACCTATGCTCAGCCAGGGAGGCAACGGCAGCTCTGGGCCACTCGATGCTGACCTTTGACCTGGGTGGTGTCCACTCTTCAGTTTGCCCGCGTCTAGTTCGAGTTGCTGGTGGAAGTTCCCCAAGTTCCTAGACCAGCTCAGCACCAGGGTTTGAAAGAGCTCTCCCTCCTCTCCTACCTCTCAAAAAAGGCCCCTCACACGCTGCCCCGTTTGGAGCTGGGAGTACTTGCTAGGGTCCCTCTGAGTCCTCTCTCCACAGTGCCAGGCCTCGCCGGGGAGCAGCACGCTGGCCACCCACCCCGGGACAGCAGGGCCTCGGGCTCCCTAGACAGAGCCTGCTGGGAGGGCCGACACAGCCCTGGTCCGTCTGCCTCCACCCCTGAGGGCTGGGGCCAGCACCGGGGGGCCGGGGCCCTGGGCTGGTGCTGTGGCCAGGCCGTCCCTTGCGCATGCAGAGTCACCATGGCCGACATCGAGAAGGAGCTGGCTGAGCTGAGGGACAGCCAGGAGCGGGGCAAGACCAGCATGGAGAATTCAGTCTCCGAAGCTTCGCTTTACCTGCAGGATCAGGTGAGGCTCCCACCCCCTCAGCACGCTGTGGGGACAGATGATGTGGCAGCCTCATCTGTCCCCACCAGCTCCTCTCTGGGGGGGTGGGGGTGGGGGGGATGTACCTAGGATTTAGCCCCTGGTCATCCAGAACCGGCTCTGAGGCCTCAGGTTCTCAAGGGGCAAGGCCAGCGTCCAGGCCTGCCTGCCTGCCTGCATGAAGGCTTTCCCCGATCTTTCAAAATTAGGTGATTCACGCACCATAGAACTCGCCCTTTGAAAGTGAACCAGGTGGTTCTTGGTCCATTTACAAAGGTGTGCAGCCATCAGCACGATCAAATTCCAGAAGGTCCGTCCCCCTGGAACAAGCCGCCCCTCACCCCCATCCCTGCCACCCGGCCCCTGGCAGCCGCCGCCAGCTCTCCGTGTCCGGGGAGTCCCCTGTTCTGGGCACGTCCCAAGAATGGAGTCTCACGCAGCACGTGGCCTTCTGGGCCTGGCTCCGCTCACGCAGTGAGAGGCCCTGCAGGCTCCTTCCTGCCGCAGCGGGGACTTCTGTCGGGGCTGCAGCCGAGTCGTGGTCCGCTTCGCGGCTCTGCCGAAACATCTTGTTTATCCCGCCGTCGGCTGAGGGGCATCTGGCGTTTCTGCCTTTTGGCTCCACTGGATAAGGATGCCGTGAACACTCATCCCCCAGTTTTTATGCCGGCCACGCGTTCTTACCTCTCTCGGTCACGGGCCCGCGAGCGGGATGGCTGGGTTACACGGAACCGCCACGGTCAACGTTTTGAGCAGCTGCCGCAGTGTTTCCCACGGAGGCCGCACCATGCGTACATCACCACCGACCCCCAAGAGGGTTTCAGCTCCTCATCCTCACGAACACTTACTTGCCTTTTACTTATTGAGTTGGTTAGAGCCGTCCTAATGGTGTGAAGTGGCATCTCATTTTGGTTCTGGTTTGCATTCTCCGAATGGCTAATGACATTGAGCATCTTCCATGGGATTGCTGGCCATTTGTGTGTCCTCTTTGGAAAGAGGCCCGTTCAAATCCTTTGACCACTTAAAAACCTGGGTTATTTCTCTGTCTGTTGTCTAGCTATTGGGAGTTCTTTATCTACTCTGGGTATTAGATTGTTTCTGGGTGTGTGATGCGCAAGTATTTCCTCCCACACTGTGGGCTGTCTTCCCTTCTCCTGATGGCGTCTGCTTTTAAAGCCTGGGCAATGCCAGCCACGGCCACCCCAGCACGTTCTGCCGAGGGGCGTTTGGACTGGGAGCAGCCCTCTGAGCACTTCCGGAAGGAGCTGAGGGGGCTCATGTCCATGGAGGCCCCATTCTGGGCCACTCCCAGGTTTGCTGGGACCGTGGTGTGACTGCTTCCAGCCCCAGAGCAGGTCATTGTTTGTGAGAATCACCTGTCATTCCAAAGCGCAAGTGTGAGCTCAGCAACCTCTAGGCTCCTCCCAGGTTCACTCCCTGTGGGCAGCCTGGCCTCCTAGGGCAGCGCCCGCAAGGTCCCACCTCCCACCCCTGGTTCCCCAGCCTCTGGCTCCCGCCTTTCCTAACACACCGCTGCTCCCTCCGCTGCCCCTCCTCCTGGAGTGGCCACTTTTTCCTCTTCCTGACCCCACTGAAATGCCAGTGGTTTGGGGAGCATCCTCCTGTCTTTGGAGAGAAGTGACCCCCTCTTTTAACCCGAGGGCCCACTGCCAGGCTCTTCTGGACTCTCCAGGAGAGTGTAGGCTCTTTTGCTTTCAAGCAAGGGAGTCACGCCAAGCCCAGGCAGAAGGCAGCGTGGGTGGCAGTCGGTACGTGTACAGGGAGCTGGAGACAGAGCGACTTCCAGGCCAGGGCGCAGTCTGGCCCCGGCCACTCTCTGTCCGTCTGTTCTGCTGTGTATCCGTTCCCGAGTCTCTTTCCTTATCCATCTCGCTCAAATACTCTCACATCTCTTTCCCATTCCACTCCGGCAGCTTCTCCCTCTCTCACTCGTGGTCCAAAGTGGCTGTCCTAGGCCCTGCTGTGTCACACGCTTCCATGAGAGGGGGCTCGGGTTGGCCTCGCCCCTCTTCCTGAGCCAGGTAACACGGCACAGGTCTTTGGCCAGTCTAGGGACTGGTTGCCCTGGAACCGGGTGCCTGTCCAGGACCAGTCACCTGTGGAGACGAAGTGGGACCGTGGGAAAAGCAGAGAGCAGGAGGGCCAGTGGAAGGCGTTTGTTCCCGTCCAGGCCACGAGAGAGCCGTGGAGTGGTGGCGGCACCCATCACCGCGCTTCACTGTGATGACAGAGCGTGTGTGAGGCTGCCCCTCCCGTCCCCGGGCCAGAGCCCAGCCTGCGTGTCATCAGGAACCTCTGACACATGTCACCACCCTAAGGTTTAGCCAGAGGAGCTATGCCATCACAAGGCACCGGTGGGCCGGCTGGAGAAAGGTTTCCTGCACGGGCTTCCTTCAGCTTTGATGCCCCTTCCTGAGGCCCCTGGTCACTCTCTAACGGACAGATGTTGAGTGCTTCCCACATGCCACGCGCTCTGCGAGGCGCTGAGGGAATGGCGGCGGCCCAGGTCTGGGCGGGCGAGGGGCAGAAAGCACAGGCTGGCAGCGGCCAGAACCTGGCCGGGCCCACTCACCGCCCTGCACCTCCCCTCTCGCCTGCCCCCAGTTAGACAAGCTCAGGATGATCATCGAGGGCATGCTGGCCTCCTCTTCCACGCTGCTGACCATGAGCATAGCACATGATAAGACCCCGCTAACCTTGACGCCCGGTGGGATCCACCCTGAGGCCACCTGCCCAGCCTGCAGCCTGGACCTGAGCCATCAGGTCAGCACGCTGGTGCGGCGCTACGAGCAGCTGCAGAACATGGTCAACAGCCTGGCGGCCTCCCGGCCCTCCAAGAAGGCCAAGCTCCAGAGCCAGGTGACTCCCGCCGGCCTCCCTCCCGCCGCAGCCGCGCCTGGCCCCTGGGGGAGGCACACAGAGCCTGGGGCGGCTGACAGAGTCCCCGGGCGTTTTTTATGGTGGAGCCCTTTACTGACCTCATAAAATTGCCTGGTCCTTCCACAGGGTCACAGTGAGTGGCTCTCGGAGTGGGGGGACCACGGGCTGGGAAAGCACAGCTGGCTGAGGGGGGAGCAGAGCCCCTCACGTGCCCTGGGGATACTGGCATAGCTTTAGGGGTCACTGACTGTCCTTCACGCCAGTCTTCCAGACCTTTGCCCGATGCCCCCCTAAGGGCAGGTTTGCTGGTGGGGCCTGGGACGGCCACAGGGCCCGAGTCCTGCCTTTCGGGTTCTGGGATGCTGATCCAGCCCAGGTTGGGTGGGCAGACTGTAGCCCCCACGCTGACTCTCGGGGCAGCTCACTACTCCTGAGCTTCATTCACCTCTGCTGATTGCACCCTTGACCCCGGCTGGCCAGGTTCCCCTGGGCTGGTCCGTAGGAGGCAGAAAACTGCACTCCTGGCCCCCGGGGCGGGGGGTTCTCACAGGAAGAGCCAGGAGCCTCCCGCTGTTGGTGGGCAGTTGAGGAGGCAATAAAAGGGGCCAGCACTGGCCTGCAGGGGGCCTGCCTGCTGGGTGACACTGTAAGGGCTGGCTTGTGTGCCCTGCAGCCTCAGGGAGCCTGCCTCTGCCCCTCTTGCCACAGGACGAGGAGCTGCTGGGCCACGTCCAGAGGGCCATCCTGCAGGTGCAGGGTGACTGCGAGAAGCTCAACATCACCACCAGCAACCTCATCGCAGACCATCAGCAGAAGCAGAAGGACATCAATGTGAGCCGCCAGCAGGGCGGCTGGGGTGGGGGTGGGGGTGGGGGTGATTGTGGCTGCCCCCGCCCTTAGGTTTCTTGCTCCTTATTCTCCGCCTCCTTGCCCCCAGGCCTTGTATCAAGGTCTGGAGAAGCTCGAGAGGGAAAAGGCCAACAGGGAGCACCTGGAGATGGAGATCGACGTGGTAGGGGTCAGGCCGGAGGGGCCGCCCGTGTTCCCGGGAGGCCTCGCTGGGCATTCTTTGAAAGGCCGGGAGTGGAGGGGAGCCCACAGGGGTGGGGGGCGGATGTGGGCTGTGTCAGGGCTGACACCTCAGGGGACCCTCCGTGGCTCTCTCCCATCCGTGGGGGGCCGCCTCCTCCTCTCTCCGGGCAGAAAGCCGACAAGAGTGCCCTGGCCGCCAAAGTGAGCCGTGTCCAGTTTGATGCCACCACGGAGCAGCTGAATCATATGATGCAGGAGCTGGTGGCCAAGATGAGTGGGCAGGAGCAGGACTGGCAGAAGATGCTAGACCGGCTCCTGGTGGAGATGGACAGCAAGGTGAGGGGGCAGCAGGGCACTTGGAGGCCCTCAGTTAGGGCGGCGCCACCTTCCCCAGGCCCTGCAGACCCCACCTGCTCCCTTAGTGCTCACCTGGTTCTGTCCCCGCTACCCACAGCTGGACCGCCTGGAGCTGGACCCTGTGAGGCAGCTGCTGGAGGACCGGTGGAAATCCCTGCGACAGCAGCTCAAAGAGCGCCCCCCACTCTACCAGGCTGACGAGGCCGCCTGCATGCGGAGGTAAGGCCCGGAGGAGGGGTGAGGCTGGCACGGCGTGCTCAGGGGAATGGCTGATCCTGCGTGGACAGCCCCACAGTAGGAGTGGCAGTATTGTAGAGCTCAGGCCACTTCATAGTACAGTGAAAATGGAGTGGGAGGGAGTCCCCAGTTCCCAGAGCTGAGACCACTCTTGGGGGACCGGCTGAGGCAGCCTGAGTTGTGGGTTTCCACTACTGGCCACTAGAGGGCGCCCGAGGCTCACACAGCATCCCTCAGGGACTGGGGGTTTAGGGCAGGTGGGTGCTGCAGCTGCCCCCAGGTGTGGGCCTGGGAGTCCGTGAGTTCCAGGGGAACAGGGACGGGGTGGGTTCTCTGTCTCTCCCACTCCAGGTCCTCTGGGCAGGGCACTCACCCTCTGCATGTCCCGTTCCTCACAGGCAGCTCCTGGCACATTTCCACTGCCTGTCCTGTGACCGTCCCTTGGAGACTCCTGTGACTGGACAGTGAGTGCCCACACCGGCTGACCCAGCTGGGTGGCCATCACCGGGCGGGCACGATAGGGTGCTGTCTCCTCCATGCGCTACCCGCCTCCAGTGCACATCCTCTCCCCTGTCCTGCCTCTCGGCCCCATGCCTGTCTGCCTAGACAGCTGCCCGCCCCTTGGTCCTTTGGGCAGGCAGCACGGGGGAAGTGGGCAGCGGACTTGGACAACGGGAGTCCTCACACTGCGGCCCCCGGCTCCTCTCTGTCCCTGCGCAGACCCATCCCCGTGACGCCCATGGGGCCCAGCCTGCCGGGGAACCGCTCCATCCGCCCCTACACCGTCTTCGAACTGGATCAGGTCCGGCAGCAGAGCCGCAGGTACCTGCAGAGTCCTGCCCGGGGCTGGGCCGGGCAGGCAGGCGATGCGGGGCCCTGCTCACCGCCGGACACTCCTGACCTAGCGGCAGCCCTTCCTAGGGTGTTAGAGAAGCGAGAGGCAGGACCAGTGATCGCCTGCCCGCGGTCCCACGGCGGGTCCTGCTGGGACATTGCCAAGGGTGCCGGCCACCTTTGCTCCTCACACCCCCAGACCCTGCACGGGCTCAGCAGTCCTGGCATGGGACTGGAGGCGGGTTGAGGGGGGACCAGTGCCACTCAGCAAGAGGGCCGCTCGGCAAATGTGGGGGTGAGTGTGGGCTGTGGTTTCACACTGCTCCGGGCTCCTGTCCACCTCCCAAGGTTCAGTGGAAAGGGTAGTTTTTACATTGCACTTAGGAACCTAGGGGTTCCAGGTATGCGGACTGGACATGCGGGCACAGGGAGAGGCCAGCGCCACCGCCCTACTTAGCTGGAGTAACTGGGCTCCCCTCTGGGTGGCTCCTTTGTCCCACCTCAGGAAACCTTTCCTGCAAGCCTACTCATGCCCCCTTGGGGACCGTGGAAAGGGCTCCTGCCCACCCTGGGTCGCTGCTGAGCCAGGAGGTGACAGGGTGTGGTGTGGGCTGGGGCTCTGCCTGGGCACCGGCTGTGACCTCTGCGGCCGCCTCACCCTCCCTCCTGCGCCCTCAGCCTAAAGCTGGGCAGCACCACCTTCCCGAGGGCAGACCTGGCGCCCCTGGAGCGGAGTGTAGGGCGCCTGCACTCCATGCACTCCAAGATGCTGATGGACATCGAGAAGGTGCAGATCCACTATGGGGGCTCGGTCAAGGCCAGCAGCCAGATGATCCGAGAGCTACTGCAGGCCCAGTGCCTCAGCTCCCCCTGCTACAAACGGTAGGAGGGCAGGACCACACCGACAGAGCCCCTGCCATGGCAGCACCTCAGCCAGGACTGGGGGAAGCCCTGGGGTGGCGGGAGGGTGGCCTGTTTATGTGTGTGTTCTGAAGGCTGTTTTGCTCTCCCCCCCTGCTGTTCTGTCCCTTGCTCCTGCCCTGGTCCCCAGAGACCCCTGCAGATCGCTGCCCCCCCCCTCTCTGGGGCCTGGCCCCACCGTAGGTGCCCCAGGTCACATCTGCTCCTGGTGACTCTGCGGTCCTCCCCACAGGGTGCCAGACGTGGCAGACTACGCCTACTCGCCGGTACCCCGGCCGTGCGGCGGCAGCCACACGCTCACCTACCCCTACCGCCGCGCCCGCCTGCAGCACCTGCCGCAGGGCCTGCACCCCGAGGAGATCCAGCTCGCCCTGAAGGTCCGGGCACTGCCCGGGAGGGGGACCCCGACATGCCCCAGGTTCTCAAGTCATCTGGAAAACCCACCCAAGGTCCCCTCATCCCACCCTCTGCCTTGAGGCGGTTTCTTAATCAGACCTGGTTAAAGCCTCAGGTTCTGGGGAAAGGAATGCCACCTGGTGCGGTGCACAGCCCCCACCTCGGGCCGGAGGCCAAGGGCGCCTCCCCCTCCCCCGTCGCTGTTCCCTGGTGCCACCCAGCACCCCTGGAGGGTGCCCCAGGCCTGTGTGGAGACAGGGACAGAGGGAAATCCCTGGGTGCTACCTGGTAATGGACGCCTGCCCACCTCCACAGCACGAGGTGGACATCTTGGGCCTGGATGGACATATCTACAAGGGACGGATGGATACAAGGCTGCCCGGCATCCCGGGCAGAGACAGTGAGTCTGCAGCGGCCCGGCCACCCCTCGGGCACCCTGCTCGGGCACCTGGGACCCGCCCGCGCCTGGAGCGCCACGCACTTCCTGGGTCCGCCTCCCCGAACCCAGACGTTCCATCTCCAGAGGCCCCAGGCCTCTGGTGGCAGGAGGCCGAAGGCTGTGCAGGGTGCCCCTTAGCCAGGAGGCCGTGGCCCGGCCCCTCTCTGGGCTGGCTGTGCCTGGCAGCCCGCTCCTCTCCCCCTGCCCCGGGTCCCCACAGAGCTCTCCGTCGATGTCTCAGAACGGACCCTTTTCATCAGGCTTAAGCATCACCAGGCACAAGGCCAAGATGCCCCGGCCCCATGTGCAGCGGCAGCCGTCCCTCGGTGACAACGGCCAGCTGCCCTCGAGGCCTCAGAGCGCTGAGGTGCCGGCTGGCAACGCGTCAGGTAGGTCCCTCCGCGTGGCGTGTCTTTGCCGAGGCCTCAGGCCCGCCCAGGCGCCGCCGCCTCGCTCCACCAGCCCCCTTTCCTGCGTGTGGCTGGTATATGCCTTCATTTATTTCCCGAGGGAGAGGAAGGGCCTGGGAGCTGAGTGACGGGGTGGGAGGAGAAAGAGGCGCCCCAGGCCTGCGGGGAGGCACTACCGTGGTGCACCGTTTCACAGAGGTGGCAGCCCGAGACTCTGGCTCTGGCCCGAGTCTGTCCCTGCTCCCACGCGTTCACGGGCTCTGCGTGGTGGCGGCTGGGCCGTCTGGCCCTGCCCGTGGAGGGGTTCCTCCTTGCCCGAGGGTCTGGAAGGTCCCTGGAATCTCTGCTGTTCCCCGAGGGGCTAAGTCCCGCCTGAAAATTAGAGGGCTGAGGGCCCCCCAGGGTGAGTCCACACCTCGGGGCCAGAGAGGGACACTGGCCTGGAGCCAGGAGGCCGGGTCACGTCTAGGCACCTCTAGGCAAGTCTCCTCCCTCTCCAGACCTCGGTTCCCTCACCTGTCAGTAAAAGGGACACCCGGTGCTGCTTTGTGTCAGGTCCCCACGAGACCCGGAGGGAAGGCGCTGCCCTCCTTCCTGTAAAGCCACGGACCCACACGCTTCGCTTGCGGGGTCGAGGCCTCCGGCATCAGTGGGAGCCCAAGGGACGGGGAAAGGGCCGGTGACTGTGGGGCTCGGGCCCCGGTGAGGAGCTTCACAGGCACGTGTGCACACACGAGGTTTTGGTCCTCACGCCCACGTGAGCCTTGCTCATAGTAGAGGAAGTCCAGGCCCAGCCCGGCCAAGGTACCTGCCCAAGGCCACATGCTGGAGTTCAAAGCCAGGCTGCCCGTGGGGCACAGAGCAGGGGGTGCCACGCTCCTCCCTGCCCGGCACCCCACTGTCTGGCCGCGGGCATCAGCACTGTGGGAGCCGGCGCGAGGGCAGTCTTCGGAAATCCCCGCGCTTAGCTGTGCTCGTTGCCCCAACAGTCCCGCGTTAGCGGAGGACACATGGCCAAGGGGCGGGCTCTTGGCCGGCAGTAAGGGGCTTACTGTCACTCAGTGATTATCCCGCTTTGCTGAGGAGCACCTGTGAGGACCCCACACCCCAGCCGGTTCCCTCGCCAGCATTTTGTCCCCACGCAGCCCGGCAGGTGCCGGGTTCGGCAGCAGGCCCGGGGAGCAGGCAGAGCCACCCCCTGCCTCCTGTCTTGCAGCTCCTTCTCGTCAGCGGACAGACAGACCGGTCTCCTCACAGGGCTGCCTCTCCCAACCGCTCAGCCCCCGAGAGGGGTCAGAGATGCGCCTGGAAGTGCCTCCTGCGGAGGGGCTGGAGGAGCCCACCCGGGGGCCGAGGTCCTCCACTGCTCACTGAGCAGAGCTCGGAATAAAGGTTGAGGAAGCAGCTCCGGGGTGGCGAGGCTTCTCTGGCCCTGGCTCGGGAGGGTGGACTGAAGGGAGGCCCCCAGGGGAAGGGGGCAGACCTCTGCAGGGGGCGGCTGGCTTACAGCATGAGGGTTAGAGCAGGGCACCCCTAAACCGATTGAAAGCCATTCCCTGAGGGTGCAAGAGCTTCGGGCTGGGCAGCGGGGGGGCTACTCTCACAGCTGCCGGCGTCTCCTGGGCTGGACCAAGGCCGCTGCCTTCCCTGACTATGGCCCCTCTTTTCTCTCTCGGGACGCCATGTGTGTGTGAGCAAGCTGTACCCTTGGGGCAGAGGCGAAGGTGGCCACTGCCCGCTGCTCTCCTGCTGCTGGTTCAGAGCAGTGCCCAGCCCTGGGCTCAGAGCCCAGGGTGGTCGGGGAGCACTGCCACCAGCTGCCAGGAGAGGTTCTTTGAGGTCCCCTGCTGAGGCAAGAGGGCTCGGTCGCAGGGTCCGCAGGTGCTGGGCCACTTCCCTGTTCCCTCTCCGCCTGCTCCAGGCCCTGCAGCTCCCGCTGCCTCTCCCCACTGGTCCCCAACACGCCAGAGGGCTCACCCGCCGAGTCCTCCGGGCTCAGGGCCTTGACGGGCTGGAGGGACAAAGGACCACGCGTGTGGTTCGGTGCAGGCAGGGGCAGTGACTGTAGGGGACAAGCCCCCACCCTGAGGCCGAGTCTGAAGCAGTTTCATGGCCAGGTCTGTTCTCACGGGCTCCCTCCTCAAAGATGGGGATCCCCCACCCCCAGCCCTGTCTCCCCCTCATGGGAAAGCAATGTCTGGGGCCGGAGGCCTACTTTAGGATGTGAAGGCAGGGTCACAGGATCACAGAAGAAAGTGGCAGGAAACAACCCAGAAAAGGGTTTCTCCCCAGTCCCATCCCACGTGGGCAGAAGAGGGTGGGGCCGGTTGGGCGCTGTGGGTGCAGGCAGGTGCTCCCTGCGGAGGGGCAGCCCCGCTCTTTCCCCGGGGGCCAAGCGCCAATTCATCTTTAAGTGACGACAGATGGCAGGAGGGGCAGCCTGAACCCTGGGGTGCCCTTGCCTGGCTGGAGGCAGGCCCAGGCCAGTCTCTGCTCCTGCCCGGGCTCCTGTTTCTCTCACCCTCCCTGAGAAATGTCAAAGTCTTTGGCCTAGAAACCAAACTCACCAGCTTGGCAGGGAGAAGCAGCTGCAGGGACGGGCCCGCCCTCCCTTACACCCATGGAAGGACAAGGAGCCAGAGTCCCCAAATAGGCCAGGACGACCAAAGCCACACCTGGGCTCACCACTGACCCCCACCAGGTTGCGCCCACCGTGGGGACAGACCCAGACCAGGTCTTGGTGTGACCACCCACAAGTCAAGGGGCCGTCCCAGCCCGGGAAAGCACAGGTGGGCAGGGTCAGGGGTGAGGGTGGGAGGAGCCTTAGGGATTTCCAACCAGGAAACAAAACTGAAAGGACAGACCCGGCCTCACAGACAAGATCACTTGCAGGGGACTTGGGGCAGCCCCACAGGGTGGGCTGGCTTGCAGGCGGGGCCCTTCTCAAGTGTCGCTTCACTCTGGGCCTGAGCCTCTAGTCCCATTGTGGGGCCAGGGGCTCAGGAAGAACCCCAAGCCTGGGGCCAGCCCCATACCAAGTGACCAGGCTCCTCCCCACCCAACTGACCAGCCTGCATGGGAGAAGGGCCTCTGGGGCCAGGAGCTGCCTCCTGCCCGGCTGTGATGCCTGGAGGCTGGGGGAAGGGGACACCCCTGTTGCTGGGGCTCCCTGGCAGCCGTTTCACCTCTGGGTCACGGCCACATCGCGCACACAGAGACAGGCCACCCTGGAAGGAGGCCATGGGCAGGAACAGCTAGGACTGGGAGAGGCCTGGGGCACCCAGCAGAGGCTGGGGCTGCCATTGGGTCCCCGGGTAGAAAGGGCAGCCCTGCCCACCCCCCACAAGACAGTGGCCACAGGACCAAGCCCAGCCTGTGATGAGCAATGAAGGGAGGTCAGGGAGGAGACAGGGTCACAGCACCCAAATCAGGACTGGTCCTTCCTCTCCCCATGCAGCCCGTCCTCCCGTGGTGTCAGCCCCTGGTGGGACACCCTGCCCAGCCACCTAGCCGGGGTCCTGACCCCATGCCCCAACCACAGCAGTCCAGAGCCCCTGCTCTCTCCCCACCCCCCAAGGAGAAAGCTTTCCCTACCAAGGCAAATAAAGGCACCGCAAACCAGGGAAGTTAGAAAAGTCTCTTTTAAGTCTTAAAATGAAAATGTCACCCTGGTGAAATGACTGATTTGGGAACGGCGAGCTCTGAGCTCCGAGGGCAACCGCTCCGCCGGGCCTGGACGCAGTGGGAGGGGCGAACCTGAACCGGGCAGAGCCTGGGCCCCTGACCCTCGCAGGCTCTCTAGTCCCAGCCACCAGCGGGGCACAGGGATGTCCTGTGAACACTGAGGTCCCCACATCTTTGATGCCCAGGGACCTGCGGGGGCCCCTCCAGCAGCCACTACTTGCTGGTGGCCTCCCCGCCCCACAACAGAAGGCGCGCCCTTGAAAGGAGGCAGCCAGCAGACACCTCGTGCCCGCGCCGTCCTGCCGCCTGGCCCAACAGCACCGGCCCTGGGCCTGGGGCGGAGGGAGGGGTGCTGACCACAGGTGAGCGCCTTCTGACCCTTCCCTCTGACCCCAGGCTGGCCGGCCGGCTCACATACATTAGTTATATTTATATATTATAGTTATATATTAAAAACAGAAAAAACTTGCCTGAAGAGAAACTCCTGAAGGACCCAAGTGGCTCAGGAGGTCTACTACCCCCCACCCTCCAAAATTCCTTTATAAAATCTTCCAGTGCGATCTTCAGGAAACCCCGCCCCACCCCAGCCCCCAACCCTGGCCTTCCTCTGTCCCCACAACCCCGGACGGCCTAGCGCGGTGGCGTCCAGTCTCATCTCTGGCCATCCACAGCAGCCATGGCTTTCTGCTGCGCACCCCCCTGCTGTGCGCCGGGGGGCCACGTGGGCTGTGGGTGGTGATGGTGGTGGCAGCTGTGGGCCGTTGGGGAGGAGGGTGGCATCCAAGCGGCCTGGTGGCTGGGAGGGGACGAGGCCCAGAAGGGGCTGAAGTTTGCAGGCGGGGAGCAGGCCCCAGCCGTCATGGGGCCGCCGCTCTGCAGGCCCTCGGAGGCGCGGAGCTTGGAGAACATGGCCAGGGCGTCCGGGAAGTTGGGCGGCGTGGCTGGCGTGTTGCTGGGGGTGCACATCTGCTCAGAGAGAACACAGGTGTCGGAGGGCTGTCCCCCAGGGCCCCCAGAGGGCTCACCCAGGGGACTGGCCAGCCTTTCCTTCCCACTGGGCAGTCCACAGCAGCCCCAATGGGGCAAAAGCACCCTGGCTCTGAGCCAGTAGGAACAACAACAACAAAAAAAACAAAACCAAACAGTGGTTTGTGACCCTGAGGAGTGTCAGAAGTAGATGGTGAACTCCGACCAGAGGCTGAGCAGCCTGAGACGCCAGCACGTGGCCTCACCCCGGGTGAGACACCAGCCGACCCCCAGGAGCCCACCCTCAGCCGTTCCGAGGCTGTTGGTTCGGGAGGGTGGCAGGCCCAGGGTCCGTCTCCTGGGCCAGCCTCGGAGGAGTCATCCTCTCAGCACTGGCTTCATTCCACGTTACCCAGCCAGCCGGCGCGCATCTTACTGCGCACGGCAACGCCAGGCCATTTCCATCACTCTCCCTGGATGCAGGTGAGGGGACTGCAGCCCAGAGCTCAAGTCACTGGACCGAACCCCCCTCCCCCAGCAGGATGCAAGTTGAGAGGTTCTTAATCTCTCCTTAGCCAGCTTCATCATACGCACAGTCAAGTGCCACTTCACACCGGGCCACCCGAGAACCAACCGTGGGATTTCAGTTTCCTGAGTCCCTCTGGGCCAGAGGCTGGCAGTGTCTGTCCATCCAGTCCCCCTCAGCCCACTTCCTGGGGGTGACCACAAATATCCTGTCATCTGCTACTACCCTGGGAGGGGGCTCCCCAAACTCATTATCCCCTGCCATTTCTGGTGGGGGACCCCAGCCAGGAAGGGCAGGGGCTAAAATTCCTTCCCTGTGAACACCAGAAACTGCAGACCCCTCAACCCTGTAGTATGGGGGGCCAGGTGGAGGTGCCACCCACCCTCACCTCACCTCACCTGGGGCACCTCACCAAGGGCATAGGGAACAGTCAGCACGAAGGCCAGTTGGTTCAGACCTCACCAAAGCTTCTCGCATTCCCAGGAAGTCCTTGTTTGAATTTCTCCTACTTTTAGCAACAGCGGCCCCTCCCCCAGGCCCGGTGTGGGAACAAGATTCTAGGACTCTTCACCTGTCACGGGGGAGCTTTCCCAGCCCTGCAGTTACAGACCGCACCCGGCCTGTAGCTGGGCCAGCTGTATCAGCAGCTAGGGAGCCCTGACCATGGTCCTCCTCAGGGGCAGCCGCAGGGCTCCCAGTAGGCCTGGCCTCACCCAGCCCATTTCCCTCCCTGCGACAGTCGCTGCCCCGCCCCCCCTCCAGGGCTGACTTCTCGGCAGCAGGAAACAATGAATGGGGGTGGGGTGGGGTGGGGTGGGGTGGGGGGAGCAGAAGCCGATTGCATCACAGCATCGTGACCAACTTCCCCACTTTATCAAGTGAGCTGGCCAGCAAGGCCAGCCGACCTGCCGGCGTGTAGCCTGTCTCCAGGAAGGCCGCCTGGGCTGCCCGCTGGCACGAGCTCGGGAGGTCCCTCCGCCTCTGGGCCGGGGAACCAGGGGCTGAGACCAGATGCCCTGGAGATGGCTCTAGTCTGGGCTTCTAAGGGCTCCGGATTCAGCCTCCCGGCTCTCCAGCACGCCGTGCCCTCTCACCTATCCAGTGCCCTGTAGCTTCCAGTTTGTGGGCCCCTCTCCCCTTCCCGGCCCCCGGGGAACCCCCTTATCTGAGGAGGTGCCTCCGACAATGTGAATGTACAGTGACCGACAGGACAGCCATTTATCAATCCCTCATGCCCTGAGTCACTTCCGATACTGGTCTGCGGCCATTACTGGTCTCAGTTGTTTCTGTTCAACTGTTTCCTTTATTGACTGTTTCTAAAAAAGTGACTGGCTCCTAGCAGGCAGGGGTTCTCCACCTGGATCAGGATCGTGCTCAAGGCCCTGTGTGCTGATGGATCCACTGATTGTAAGGTCTGTTACACAACCCAACACCTGCCTCGAGGGAAAGCAGCTCCGGAGGGATTTCGATACCTTGGGGTTTGCAGATAAGGAGCAGCAGGACCTCCAGTCCCAGATCTGGCTCCAGTCTTCCTGTCACTACCCATCCCCAAGGCCAAGCAGATTGTTTATTTTTTTTAACGTTTTTAGACCAAAACTTGGCATTCTGAAAATGTAAACTTATGTTAACATACACTAAATATAACTTTGAGGAGAAAAAAGACTTTCTTAGTCACTAATATCCTAAGCCCAGAATTTTTTCCCCTTAAATTGGTTGACCTAACCAAATAATTATTTCTACTGTCCTTTTGTTTAAAAAAATACGTAAATAATGAATGATATGTAGGTAGTGGCTCTTGATCCTGGTCACCCAAAATCGAACCAAGGGCCTTCTGAGAGGAGATGGGGGCAGGGCGCTCCCAGTGCAAGGTGAAAGCCGGGGGGCTTCCCCGGGGCCTGGTGAGGGCTAGGTCTCCTCCCCACAGGCCCCTGGGGTCATGAGGAACCTGGTCCCAGCAGCCACAGCCCGGCAACCCACAGGATCCTCCCATCACTTTCCAATGCGTTTTTGTTTTTCTATTTGTATGCAGCATGAGCCATTCCAAGTCAAAGCTGGTTAAAAGGTCAAGACTAACCCTTCTCTATTTGTCGTCTGCAACAAGGTGAAGACAGGGTGCCAAGGACTAGACACTGCAGAGGGACCCTTTGCAGCTGCTCCAGGTAAGGCGGCAGCTCTGAAAAGGGGAGCCATGGGCAAGGACACCAGCGTCAAAAACGCCAAAAATGCACCCAAGACGCCACAACAGATCTCCTGGAATAATGTGTTACAACTCCTGGGCCTGGGACAGTCCCTTCTCCCTGAGCAGGGCTAATAGGTAACTAGGGGGGTGGGGAGGACAAGTGTCCCAGCCTCCACAGCAGAAGGGACGGCCTGGGTGGGTGGAAGCAGGACACCCCACTGCCAGGAGGGCAAAGGCCCAGGCCTGGGGGCCAGCTGGAAAACGAAAGAAAGCAAATCCAGGTCTGAGCCACTTCTGTTTCCTGCACCTACATGTGTTCACGTACTGAGATTAAAAGCAAATGCTTGGCATTTTCTTGTCAAAATCTGTATGTCCTCCATGCTCAGGGTATGTCCTTTTCCATAAACAGGAAAGAGAACATACCTCTCTGGGTCGAGCCCAGCTCCGAGCCTTGGTGGATTTATGGCTTTCCTGTTCCCTGAGAGCTGAGAGGTTTGCATGGGGGGCTGACAGTCCAACAGCAAGAGGTGCCTCCCCGCAAACAGAGGCCCCAACTCTCAGTCCCTCAGGTCCCTCCCTTCACTGGACTCCCTGGTCCCCTTGACGTCTATGTCTCATCCGAGCCCCCTCCCCACTCCCTGACACCCTCGCCTCCCTCGTACCCCTCGCCTCGGGAAGGGCCCCGGGCACATGGCTTTGGGTCGAGACTCAGCGGCTCAGGAGGCCGGACCACAAAGTTGGGCGAGCCAGCCGGCCGGGAGCCGCTCTTTCCTGGAAGACATTTTGGCTCTTTGTTTACATCGCGGCGCGGCGCTCCCCGGCAACATGGCTGTCACTGCCGGCGGCTGACAGCGGTCCCCGGCCCCCGGCCAGGGCCCCGCCGGGCTGGGGCCCGGGGCAAGACCTACCCTCCCGCCGGTGCTGGCCGTACTTACCATCTGGTGGTGGTGGTGGCTGTTGGGAATGTTGGTTTCTTGGAAAAACGTGCTCAGGGCGGTCTGCGGACAAACACAACGGTGGAGAGGCGGTTAACTGGCACGGAGCAGGAAGCCCTAGGGTCCGCCGCCCGGCCTCCGTGGGGTACACGACGCCGCACTCAGGCCGCCGGACCCGACCCCTCTGGCATCCTCGGGCCGCGCGCAGGGGTACCGGGCGGCAGGGCCCTCTGCGCCGCCCCCAAACCCCGCACCCTACCTCGCGGCCGCGGATCACCTTACGGACGATATAAATAGAGCCTCCCCCAGTCGCCCGCGGCTGGGCGTCCCGGCCCGCGCCCCCACCCCGGGAACCAGGACCGGCCGCCGCGCTCGCTCCGGCCCGTTCGCACCTCGAACTGCCAATGGGCCGCTTGCAGCAGCTGCTTCGCCTGGTCGGCCGCGCAGCCTGCGGCCAGCACAAACTGGTTGATCATGACCTGGTGCCGCAGCTCATCCGTGTTAACCGACATGGCTCCGGCCGGCGCGTAATCCAGCTCGGCGGCCGCGGGAGGCCGGCCGCCCTCGGCTCGAGCTCGCCGCCGCCCGCGGCCTGCGGACCCTCGCTGCCCCGCAGCCCGCCCGACGAGTGTTGTGGTCCTGCTCCCGCGGCCGCCGACACGCAAACAACAGTGCGGGGCGGGGCTGTGTCCCAACGTTCGGGGGCCGCGAGCCACCGCCGCTGATTGGCCCGCGCCGCTCGGCCAGCTCCCGGCTCCGAGCGGACGTTCGGTTCGAATCCTGCGGCCTGAGGACCCGCACTGTTTCTCTTTTTGCCCGGCCGTGCCCATTGGCGGAGGTCCGCTCGGTGGGGCGCTCCGGCATTGGCCAGCCGCTGTGTTTTGGCTCATCCGGGCTCGTGGTTGGCCACGGTCCGGCGTTTGGGGCGGAGCCGCGCACGCTGATTGGCCTCCCGTGGGCCTGTTTGAACTCAACTTGAAAACCTTGAGTGCCTGCTGATTGGCCAAGGCCCCTGTGTTTGGTGTTGTAGGCTAGGGGGTGGTGCGGCCAAGTTCATTCATTACTTCATTGAAACTGAACATGCTCAGCTGGAAAAGCAAGACAGAGTGGCTTTGACTCATTTCCTCTGAAAGATGTGGTCATCTCGAGAAACAGAATGATCAAAATAGAAAGCAGATAGAGCCTTTGTAAGCTGCTCGAGTCCCCAGATTGTTTATTTTTTAAAATCATTCAAGCAGCTCTACTTTTTTTTAGCCTTTTGTTGAAATATAACGGACCCCTTTCATGCCAGGGCGAGCTTTTTAAAAATGTCTTTAAACCAAAACTTTGTGCTCTGAAAATGTAAACCAATGTTAATGTATTCTAAATATAACTGCCAGGGAAAAAATAAAACTTTCTCAGTCATTACCACCTAAATCCATAATTTTTTTTCTCAAATTGATGACTTACCCAAATATTTGGTTTGTACCATCTTTTTTTTTTTTTTAATGAGTGTTACACAGATACTGGCTCTCAATCCTAGCAATTTGAAAACAAAGCTTGTTTGTGGCAGCCACCTTCTAGATTAGGATTTTAGGCAGACAAAGCAAGGGGCAGCGTGGTTAGGAAGGTGACAATTCCAGGGATTCGCTGTTAGAATATCTTTCTGAAAAACTTACTAAGTTTTGGGTCTGAAATACCAATTCCAGCATGTATTCTGAAGCTAAGAAGTAAGCCAGCCGTGGTTCTATTTTGAGTTTGCCTAAAATGGATTTAACTCCCCACTGAAGAAAACGTGACCATATAAAAAATAGAATATAAACAGGGAAAAATACGCCCAGTGTTTATTACTGATGAGAAACAGCCTCAGACACTATCCCATTGAATTAGTCGTTTGTTTGTTTGTTTGTTTGTTTGTTTGTTTTGAAGGGACAGGAGTCAGCGTTTTGCATTCTGAGACTGGTTCTCTTGCTGTAATTGCACTTGGCCACCCCAGAGTGTGCGTGGGCTAAAGCCTGAAGTGTGACTGGAGAGTCAAGCACAGCTTGTGAGGCTCTTCCCTTCCAGTAACTGCAAGGTGAAAACAAAAGTGAGCAGCTAGCAGCTAATATTACCAGGGAGCTTGGCCGCAAGCAGCCCTAGAACAAGGAAGTACCGTCGGTGTGGGACTCCAGCTTTCACAAGTGCATACAGGTGTCAAACATGCCAGGGCCATGAGTGGTAGGATCTACCTGGCCCAGGAGAGGCATTTTGGGCCACCGGAGCCCTTAGGTCTTAAGTAAGAAGTTCTTGAGGAAGCCTGGGGTCTTGAAATGCCAAAAGCGCCAGACCTACTGTCTCCTGGAAACCTTTTCTCCTGAAAAGGTTTATTTAATGTTTACCATTCACAGCTCTGGGCACCTGGGGGAGGCCTGGGAGATGAGACCCCCAAGCCAGAGAGACTCGGGTTGTGGTTATCTTCTGTGGACATAGGTCACTCCGGGCTGAGTGAGTCCCCTTCTCAAGCAGGTTAAAGTAGGCGTGCCCCCTCCTGGGAGCACAGGGAGAATGAATGAGGTCATGTTTGTAGAGGGCTTTGAGCTGTGGGGATGAAAGCACCTCCCCAAATGCAAGGTATTATTAATGAAAGGTGTTATTATTTTAATCTGTGAGGACAATGTGTAGCAATAAAAACATGTCCATTAACAACAAATAAAACTCAGCAGTGGCCTCCGAAGGAACAAAACCCTCCTCCAGTCCGAGGTCCAGGCTACAGAACCAGCCAGGGCGCAGCAGCTGCAGGCGAGAAGCAGCCTCAGCCGGTGTTTGCTCGGGTCGGGTAACAGGGATGTTTTAGAGGGAAGTCGCTGAGCTGGGGCTGAGACCGGCAACAGTAACTGAACCCTCAGGAGCAGCTGCCACTCACCAAGCACTTCCTGTGAGCCAGGCACCTCACCGTCTCATATCAGTCAACTCGTCTCTGTCCTCACAGCAACCCAGAGTGCCGCCCGCCCCCCAGGTGAGGCAGTTCCGGCACAGAGGGCAGGAGGAGCTGGCTCAAGGTCACAGCCGAAAGCGGTGGAGTCAGGCTTTGGCCCAGTCTGCGTCCAGAACCTTGTGGTTAACCATTACCCCACGCTACCGTCCTTCACGCTGTGTAGTTGTCGCCTCAGCGGGGCTCACTCGGGGCTCCTTGCAAACGAGAGCTACGGAGGGCCCCGGGATGGTTTCCACCCTGGAGGCCTGAAAATGAGTGAGCCTCCATGGGGCACAGGGGGCACGAGCTGCCTTGAGCAATCATAGAGGAGGGTGGAAAATTGATCATTCCAACCTCCTCTCTTCAGGGCATTCGAGTCCTCTTCCTTTTCCCTTCTTTCTATCTCTTTCTTACTCTGCTAACCCACAAGGATCCAACAAAGCTGAGGGAAAGTGGAGGGTGGGCTCCATGTGAATCTCTGTATACCCTCCAAACAGCGTGCCTGGCTTGGAACTCCCAATTGACCTGAGGCTCAGAGGGGGCAAGAAACCCACTCAAGGTCACACAGCCCCTGCCTAATTTATAGTCACCATGGGATCAGATGGGTTAGATCAGGTCTGATTAATGCAAGAGCTCATTTCCTTTCTCCCCTTCTTCCTTTCCCTTCCTCACTCCTTCCTCTTCTCCTTCCTCGAACTCTTATTTTTAGTTTCCCTCCTGTTGCTTTAAGATGCCAAGACAAATGGACAGTGTGGTTGGGAGAAGCAGAAAGATATTGAGAAAACAAGAGGACGATGGGATAGGATGCGAGTGCCCAGATAAGAAGACAGAATGAAAAGAAGCAGTGCCCAGGCCCGCTGGGCAGCTCTCCCTGAAGGTCAGCCCGGGAGGTGGCCGCTCAGGTCCCACGGGTGGGACAGCTCCCCTCTCCCATGGACTCCCAGGCCCCCAACCTCATTTCGTTACTGCTACTTTTCATTGCAGATTGACTCCATTTCTACTAGAAGGTGGGTGGGCGGGTCCTGCTTCGGAAGCATCCCCTTTTTTGCCAGTCATTCTCCTTAAGGTGGAGTGCTTCTCTATCCCAAGCAAACTCCAGCGGTCCTTTGTGGCATCCGAGGTGTATGTCCGATGAGAATGGGCTATGAACCCAGCTCTGCTAAATTCTTTTTTTTTAAATTAATTAATTTATTTATTTATCTTTAGAGGGGAAGGGAAGGAGAGAGCGAGAGAAACATCAATGTATGGTTGCCTTTCGTGCGTCCCCTGCTGGGAATTGGCCTGCAGGGAACTGGCCTGCAACCCAGGAATGTGCCCTGACTGGGAATCGAACCTCGATCGTCTGGTTCGCAGGCCCGCGCTCAATCCACTGAGCTACACCAGCCAGGGCTTTAAATTCTTTTTTTAATTACCTTAATTAATACAACAACCCAAAAACGTGGGGACTGTGCATCAGCAGACGAGGAAAGCAGGGTCGGAGAGGTTAAGTGGCTTGCTCACAGTCACTCAGCTGGCTCGGGGTGGGGCTGGGACCTGAACCCACATACCTGGGGTCGCTCCCAGAACTGGAGCTCTTAAATATCACAGGCTACTTTCTAGCCCTGCCTTCCTCTTGAGTTCACCTTATCTTCTCCCTCAGTGATACTGAGAAGATATAAAAGCTTGTCCCTCATTGTTTGAAGTAGCAGGAAGGTCAAAGGCAGCCTCTAGGGGATGAGTTCATGCTGGCCGATAGGAGATTACATTTTCACCAAATGTCATATATCTTACAAGGGACAAAGGCTGTACCACTCCCAGCGTAGTTAACGCTGTTCTCCGAAGCAGCATCGGTGGGCTGTACACTCTGTACTGTACCTGCCAGCCTGGTGATAAGGCGGCCTCACCTCCAGTTGCCAGGCGTGTCCTGTGAGAGGTGAGTCTCGGGCGATCATTTGGAGGCCACGCCAGAGGGTGGGTCTTCACCACAGGAAAGAGGCAGGCAGGGCAGAGGGACAGCTTTCCAAGGAGGGCCCTCTTTCTCAGGAGTCCCAACTCTTTGGCACAGGTCCCCACCCACTGTCTCTCAGGGCACAGAACTGGATCCACAGGAGCAGGTCTTCCCTGCATCCTGCACCCTGCGTCCAAACCCACACCGTTTCCTTCCAAACCGCAGGACGCTGGTCACCATGGCAGTTCTAACTTCCAGGTTGGAGGTAGCCTTCCTGACTGCTCGCCCGTTTTTCCTTAGGAAAATAGAGGACACCGAGAGTTTATGGACAATCTAGGCACAGTTTGAAGGCTAATGAAAAATCAGCCATGCACCCAACCTGGAACTGAAGGAGTGCAAAACCGGTGCCTTCGAAAACCCTCACATGGCCCTCCCCAAATACATATTCTTTCCTCCCCAGAAAAGCTCATGATGGTAAATCCGCATTGGTCATTTCCTCGATTTTCTTTGTCATATAATCCTGTATCTCCGAACAAGGCGCTGTGGGTGTGATAGGCTGATTCCTTTGAGTAAGGCTCCCCTCCCCCCTTGCCGACGCGGATCGCCGGCAGCGAGGGCTGGCTCGCTTCTGCCCTGCGACCACAAACAGCGTCTCCGATCCGGGTAGCGGTCCTAGGTCACGAGGAGGTGCTCCCAGAAGGCTGCTTGGGGCACTGACGCTGGGCACTGAGGAACAGGGCAGACAGAAAGGGAACTTTTGGAGGAAAGAACAAAGGACACAGAAGCACAGTTACCTTAAAGGCAGGTTTATGGCAAAGTGCGTTCAGGGTGTGTGTTGGGGGACCGTGGGCGTGGGGGATGCTCACCTTGGATAGCCCAGGGTCAGAGTGGACCCGCTCTGGGCAGCGGGGAGGAGAGTGATTAGGTCCATTGCCATTATCATCCACCAGCACAACAGCAAAGATGGCCCATGCTTTCTCAAGGTGACCCACACACGCCTCGAGTCAACCAGGTTAGGCTAAGCTGTGCTCAGGCAACACACCATCCTAAAGTCCTCCTTCTCTGCCTTACAAATTTTGCTGCAATCCAGTGACTCTCATGAAAGACTGTCCTCTGGGCGGTGACTGAATGATTCAGACTGTATGTAGGAGCTCCCCTGGTCTGTTGGATTTGAGTTGGCAAAATACAGCCCTCAGGCTGCTGCCTGTTTTTATAAATAAAGTTTTATTGGGACATAGTGAGGCTTATTTGTTTATGTAGTGTGTCTATGAGGCCTCCAGTGCTACAGCAGAGTAATGGACCACAAAACCTAAAAGGTTTCCTATCTGGCCCTTGGCACGGTTGGGAAGAAGCCAGCAGGCAGTTACACGCTTTAGCTGGGAAGTTATACACTCTGTCCACAGTTGATTGTCTAGAAGAACCCTGTGGCTGCTCCCAACTTCCAGGGGCAGCGAGACTGACCCCTGCTGCCCGGGTCCCCGCGGACGTCAACAGCGTCTAAAGGCCCACCTGCTGCTCGTCCACAGGGGTGAGCCCGAGGAGCCTGTTTTTCTTGCTTGTTTATCTCCCAATCTCACTCACAAAAGGCACTGACATCCACTGCGAGGGCTCAGAGAGAGAGAGAGAGAGAGACGTTGAAGAGATCCGACATTTCTGATGAGGTGCTGCTGGGAGTTCCATCATTCTTCAGGCCAGCGTGCTCGGCTCGTTGGTAAACACAGGGCTGTGTTCCTCATAAAGAGGAAGGAAGTATTTACTGAGAATGAGCGCACTGGGCCGGGCACAGCAGCACCGGGAAACCACCAGCAGCAACAGCCGCGCCCGGGGGCCTGGCGCCCGCGGGTCAGAGCACATCCCGTGCCCTGCCCTCTGGGGGCTTCCAGGCCCCAGCTGCCCACTGACCCGATTGTGGACAGAGCCCAGGGGTTAGAACTGGTTGTGCAGGGAGGCAAGCCGTTTGTCCCGGCCTGAAGGCAGTTACAAAGCACGAGGCTCACCCGAAATGTGCCCACGGGGAGGCAGGTTATCCATCTGCCAGAGCTCTCAGGGCGACATGTAAGGCCCAGAAGGATTTCCAGAGACAAGAGGAGATGGAGGGTCAAGGGCTTGTTGAAAAATGGTCCAAGCTCACACAGGGAGATTCTGCAGAAGGAAGCGGGTAGGATAAGGAAGGCAGATTAAATTTGGAGGGAGGCAGGATGAAGCCGGGGGTGGGGAGAAGTCCCCACTCCCACAGGCTTTACCTCCGGCGCCTCTGCAGACAGAACCACCACTGCAGACCCCACCGACCCCCCCCCCCCCCCCACCAGCTTGGTGACCAGCAGGTCTGGCACCTAGGCAGGTTTCCTCCTAGGCTTGTAGGCCAGGCAATCTGCCAGTCAATCCCGGTAAGACCTGAGACTTTGAACTCAGGTGAACTTCAGGCAAGATCACATTCTCTGTACCTAGAGTGTGAGCTTCCGGTTTCCCATTAGGGACATGGGAACAAGTGTCGGGCTTACCTCTTAGGGTGGCTTTGCAGATTAAACGAAATCGTGCATTCGAACGAGCTCAGGGGGAGTCGCTGCTCAAAATGATTGTTCTCCTTACCGTTTAATTAGTCATTTATTTAGTGAGTCCCTACTGTAACGGACACACCTGTCCTCCTGGGGCCCTGACCGGGCTCTGGGGAGAGGGAGGGGGGCCCTGACTCACAGCATTTGATGGTCTCTGTGGTGTAAACAGTCCCATCTCGGCTGGTTCGGAGGTACTGACAGTTTACCAACTAGCTGGCAAAATTCCTGAGTAATCGGCGCTGGAGAAGGCCCCAAGGAGTTCCCTTTCTAACTCAAAAATAAGTGGAAGGTTAATGGTGACTCACAAATCCCCCCTCCCCTTCCAGAAGGATCCAGACCACAGGGGCCGGGGTGCTGTTCGTTGAGGGGTGACATTCCCTTTGATGGCAGTGGCATGGGCTGCGCTTCTGGGGAGAAGGAAGGGGTCAGGCTGGCTCTTTCTCTGGCCATTCCGCAATCAACACACACGTGACAGTGGACATGTGTGCCCAGCATTTGGAGGTCCAGCGGGCACGGCGTGATGATGTCTCAGGAGGGCCACGCCCCTGGGCTCTGCCTCCGGCAGAGGGGCAGCCCCTGGGTGTTGGGCCTGCCCGACGAGGGTCTGCAGGGCACGTCCTGCCTCCAACGTCCCGGAACTCTGACTTTTCAAACTTATCTTTGGAGCCACGCACTGATCTTTCTCTTCTCTTTCTCCCTCCCTTCCCCTCTCTCTACAAATAAATAAATTTAATTAAATTAAAACAAAATACATACTAATGCACGGAAAGGTATCTCTTGCCTCCTCTTAAAAAAAAGTTGGCGTAGGAGGAGAAGGGGGGAGAAGGTACAGAAAATAAGTAGCATAGACAGTAGATAGAAAATAGATGGGGGGGCAAGAATAGCATGGGAAGTATAGAATCTAAAGGACTTGAGAATGGTTCGGGGGGTGTTGGGGAGGGGGGTGGTGGAGGGGTGAAGGGGGCATGACACTGTAAGATAATCAAATTAAAAAAAAAAAGTTGGCGTTTATTGCGCACCTACTGCGTGCAGGGAGTCAAGTTAGGGCTGTACAGGCCTCTTCTAGCTGAATGTTCAAACCGTCTTTGTTACTCTCACGTCCATTTATATGCAAGAAAACTAAGGCTCAGAGAGACTGAGGAACTTTTCCCAAGACGCATGGGCAACGAGGAAGCTGCTGGTCCGAACCCTGTGCTGTTCGGCTCCAAAGCCTGTGCATCCCTTGCTGCTGGAGGCTGGGGACGGCACACATGTAAGTGTCGAATGAGTTATGCAGAAATCAGCCGTCAGTAAAACCTCAGAGAAGAGCCAGGGTCTGAGGGCGGCTTCGTGCAAAAGGTCGGACTTCAGCCGAGAGGGACTTACCCGGACTTGCAGGAGTTGGCAGGGCGCACGCGGGAGCGTTTTTCGTGAGCAAACCGACTGAAGGCTGCATTTGGGGTACAAATGGGAGCTTCTGAGGACACAGAGGATAGACAGGGTCTGGGAAGGAGCGTCTGTTTGGTGTGAGGTAATGGAGAGCCACTGAAGGTGTACAGGCAAGGGCATGAGGTGACAACCGCTGCTTACCAGGGAAGTTAACCTGAGAGCGATCTTTAATAAATACTTATTTATTCTTACAGAGAGAGGAAGGGAGGGATAAATAGAGGGAGAGAAACAGCGAAGTGGGAGAGATACACTGATCGGTTGCCTCTCGCACACCCCCTACTGGGGACCTGGCCCAGAACCCAGGCATGTACCCTGGCTGGGAATCAAACCGGAGACCCTTTGGTTCCCAGGCCGGCACTCAGTCCACTGAGCCACACCAGCCGGGGCAAGAGTGGTCTTTAGAATGCATGAGAGGCAGGAAAACCAGAGAAGAAGCTATTGGAATGGCCAGACCTCTTCTCCTTCATAGATTTAAGCTTGGAATATAAAAGATAACCGTTTACAACCAAGCAACATCATAAACATACGCCTCATGGGGCAGTAAAAAGATCTCAGGTGTCCAGCAGTGCACTGTGGGAACCACTACAGTGAGGGGCATTTCTGTTTATTACTCCGTCAGGCTCCTTAATGAGGATAGTGGTTATCACTTAACTAGACAGGCAATTAGCTCAGAAATAAATGTGTCACTGTAAATGAGGTCATCGCGTTGCTGGCGGGTGGCAGACTTCAGCCTGGACTTAGACTTTAGCAGGGACACACTGTGTGTGTATGTGACACTCTTAACCTATTTGCTGAGAACCTGGCTCACCCCCCGGTGGCTGGCACTTCTTCCTCCTCATCACCCTTAGGTGCCTGCACTGGGAGGAGTTGGGTGGCTGGCTGACCTCAGCCCTGGATTCAGAGGAGCTGGGTGGGGGAGGGGGAGGAAGCCTGCAGCTCAGAGATGGTGTGTGGCTTGCTTACGCCAGCTTGAGCCCCGAGACCATCCCTTCCATGCAAGAACCAATTCTTGCATGTTGGCACTGCACTCCTGTTAGGTTTCTGAGCTTTGTCCCTCACTTGCTGTCTGCTCTGACACAGGCCGTAAGAGACAGCCTACTCCGAAAAAAAAAGAGAAACCGGCTTTCCCACAGGGTGAGGCCCAGGGCCTGCAGCCTGGGCTCCCCGGGGCCTGGACCCCGTGGCCCTCACTCCCCTGTCTGAGCTGCAACTGCTGCGTCCGTCTGGGGAGGGGCCTGGGCTTGGTGACCTTTAGGGTTCTTCCAGATCTGAAGCTCCAGCCAGGACACCCATAGTCCAGGAACTCTGGGAGAAGGAAGAGAATTCTGTCTCCTTTTCTTCCTTTGATTTGTTGGTGTGGTATGAGGGTACCCCCTGCCCGCCCCACCTGGCTCCATTCTGGTTTCACTGGGCAGCAGGAGAAAGATGCTGGGCTTTTCGCCTACCTGGTCTGTGGGGTCGAGGGGGGCAGGCAGAGAGGCAGCTGATCTGTACCTACTGGGCTGAAACACAAGTGGTGCATTTTCACAGCGACTTTATCAGGCAGCGTGTGGGGTTGAGCCCCAAACCAAAAGCAGGGCGGAACAAATGAAGGCAGAAGTGACTGTGAACAGAAAGCAGCTTACAGGGTCTGGCGCTTGCTAGGAATGACTCGGGGCCAAATGAAGGCAAAGAGAATGGACTAATTCTTTAAATTGGTCCTTGAATAGGGTTAATGTGAGGCTCCATCCAGACACGGAGAGTGAGCGCCAATGTCAAGGTCACTCCTTAGGCACTCACAGTCCTCCCCCTGGGCCTGGCCAAGCTGGCCATGTAAACACTGTCTTCCATTTGGATCTTCACTTGAAAAGTAGATTAAGAAGCTACACACTTGGCTGAAGTTTGCAGCTCTTTAAACAGGTTCCTTTGTTCAGAGGCACACGGCTGAGGAGGTGATTAACAGTGAAGCGTTCCGGCCAGAAGCGAACTCGGATAGCTGACTGCTGATTTCCTAAAGGACAAGGTCGTTTTCCTCAGCATGACCGTATGTTGCCAGAGGAACCGTCTGCAGGCTCCCAAAACATTAGGATCGGCTCCTCTAGCCCACTGACCTGGAGCAGGGTGGGAAGGAGTCCTCCGTTGGCAGTTTTCACTTAATCCACTGAAGCCGCAGCCAAGGACTGAGAGGGGGATCAGAGGCTGCTGACCGGGCTGTATCTTTTGGAGAAACCCTGTGCTTACTCAGAACAGCCAGGGCTCCAATCTCCCTACCCCTTTCGAAGGGGCAGAAAGGCCCAGCTGAAGGCCTCGAAGGGCCAGGCTCCACTCCTTCAGCCCCTGGGGGCCCCTGCCCAGCGGCCTTGCGGATGCTGAGCTACAGACACAGGGCGGGGCTGTCAGCTGTTGGCCCACAGGCGCTGTCCTTCCCGTTAAAGGAACTCATGCGAATCCTTGAAATGAGTGGATGTGTTACAAAGGTGAGCTGAAACCAGGACAACCAAAAGGAACAAAATTAAAAGCCCAAAGGGATGAGCTGGCCTGGAAATTATTCATCCATGTGCTTCCCCCACACGCTTCTCCTTTGTCCGTTAGACCTGAAGTTGAGAAGGCCTTGGACCCAGTGAACTACGTGGCTTTTGCCTCCCCGTGTTCCGAGGATGCTTAGAGGAACCCCCTGAGACCCTCAATGCTGGGCGCTTGCTGGGACGCTCCCAGGGCTGCACCCACGGCAGGGCGAGGCCCAGGACGCCTTGAAGCTGCCTACACAAAGGGGGCGATGTCTGCATGGTCTCCCTGTGCAGGCTGTGCCGCCCTCTCGGGCCGTTTATTCAAGTTAAAGGCATTTTTATAGTTCTCCCCAGGGCAGTCACTTCTGGGTGCTTTTCCCCCCTCTTGTCTGTGCCATCTTGTCCCTCAAGCGTTCTCCCTGGCCCAGATCTCTGGCGAGGGAGCCGAGTGGCACCGGGGAAGAACCGGAGAGGAATGCAGGACCGGCCCGGCTGGAGGGGCCGATCCGAGGGTTTGGCGGCTTTATCTGCCCTTTGGCCTGGACACTGGCTGAAGTTCTCTTTTCCCGAACTATAGCACTGCGTGATTGCATTGTAGAGAGTGGGACTCTAACTCAGTCAGTTCACAGAAAGTCTCTTTGATCTAGAATTTTCTCTGGCCTATCCCCTATGCCTTTCTCTTCTGCCTCATGACCCTAGGCAGCTGGTCATGATTGCTATTATATCAGCCACTTATTGCTTCTCCTCCTCCTCCTCCTCCTCCTTCTTCCTCTTCTTCTTTCTCCCTCTTCTTCTTCTCCTTTTTTTTTAATTGAGCTTGGTTTCAATTATTGCTTAAATGCTGGGCTATTTTGCAGACTGGTACTTGCTACTCAGACATGAGCCCAAAGTTACACAGCGGTTAGGGTGCTGACTTGTCCAACTCAAAACCCAGGGCTTACCCTGACTGGTGTAGCTCAGCAGATTGAGCACAGGCTGCAGACCAAAGGGTCGCCGGTTCGATTCCCAGTCAGGGCACATGCCTAGGTTGTAGGCCAGGTCTCCAGGGCCATGTGAGAGGCAACCACACATTGATACTTCTCTCCCTCTCTTTCTCCCTCCCTCTAAAAAATAAAATCTTTACCAAAAAATTTAAAAACAGGGTTTGTTCTCCTCCCTCTTTCCTCCTCACTTTCTTCGACCACACAACGTGGGAGTTAGCAGCATGGGCTTCATAGCGTTGCCGTGAGGGACGTAAGCTTCCATGTGTGCAAAGCTTTACCAAGGGGCCTTTTTCCTGTTCACTCACAGTGTGTGATAAGTGTCTGCTCATGTGATCGGGCTGCGCTTTGTTTCTCTCGGCCGTTCCAAGCATTGATTCGTGACTCACTCATGGGAAGAGAAACCGAGTTACAGGTTTGGGGGGCTGAGAGCCGACTGAGCTGGGGCCAGAACGGATCCTTGGGAGCAGCAAGGCTGAAGGGCCAGATGGAGCCCCATCCCTGCCTGGCCCTGGCTGGGAAGAAGAAACCGTCCGGCACCCCCTTTACAAACTGCTGACAGCAGGAAGAACAAAGGCTTCTGAACGGAGTCCACGGTTATGAGGCAGCCGTTCACGCTGTGACGTGCTGCAGGCCTATTCCGAAGCGGTTCGAGACTCTTCAGGACTTGTAGTTCACTTTCACCCAGTAATTACAGGTAGGTCCCGTGGGTGGTGAAAGGTGTATCAAGGTGGACACCAGTTTCCACCCAATGGGATGTCTCAAAGCTTTCTAGTGGTCAGAGCCAGGGGCTGGAGGGAGGACTCAGAACTCCGCTGGGGAGCTCTGGGGCTCGGGAGAGGCTGCGGTCAGCTCGTCTGAGCCAGGGACTCACCCTGCTCCGCAGCCTGCTCAGCATCAGTCCATGGAAATGGCCAGAGAGGTGCCCCTGCCATCCCAGGGCCTGGGGGAACACCGCGGTGCCGGGTCTGTGGGCTGCTGCTGAAAGATGGCGTTGGAAAAGGTGAAATGCCGCCAGGAAAAGGTGAGACTCTATAAAATGGCGCTCCGAACTCAATCAAGGAGACCAGGTATTCCACACTGTACATTAAATTAAATCTTGTTGAAGAGTTGTGAAGTCATGTTCCAGCAGCTGAAATTTTTGCTGATCAGTCCACCCTCTTAGGGAAAAAAAAAAAAACCCACCAGACACACAGATAAAATAAAAGGTTTAAAACACGGGTGTCTGTAATTAAGCTTTGGAATGACGTCTTCTGTCTCCAAGCTCCCTGCTGTTTGGTGAGGGTTTTATCAAAAAAGAGCGCCCCCTCTACCCCGGTTCTGCCCGCGTTGCCCTGCGCTGACTCTCTGGGAACCAGGCCTTTCCAAAGTTTCCAGAAGGTGCCATCGGAGACTGACTGCCTGGATCTTATCCTGGTTGACGCTCTCCTAAGCTCAGGGCTGCAGGAGCTGGCCCAGGGACCCCATTCACGGACGGCCTCTGTAGAGACCAGCGATTTGAAAGACGCTCCCCGAGAGGGATGGCGGGTCATCCGCAGGGACTCATCTCCCCGACTCCTGGGAGGTGGGATTGACAGAGCACTTTGGGGCTAAGGCCCCCACTGCGGGGTGAGGGAGGCCAAAGCGTCGTAAGCTCATGTGGCGCCCCTCTGCGGGGTGCGGACCATCGGCTTTGCGGATGCCGAGCTGGGCTGCAGGGGGCTGCCTCCTGGCCGGGAAGCCCCGGGCCGCCTCGGGTTGGGGGGACAATGTGGAGCGACCTCGGCCGGGCCTCGCGCGCCGCGCGGTCCTCGGAGCCGGGAGGCGCTGGCTCCGCCGGGCCACGCGCCCTCGGCCCCCGCCCCAGCCCGGCCGCGAGCGCGGCCGCCGCTCCGCCGCATCTCGCCACCCATTGGCTGGCGCCGCGCGGCCGCTCCCGCCCCGCCGCACCATTGGCCGTGGCCGCCGCGGTCCCCTCGCGGAGTCGCCGCTGACATCACGCGGCCCGAGGCGGCGGCGCCCCCCGGCCCACCCGCAGCCCCCGTCGCAGAGGCGCCGCGGCGGGGCCCGGCGGAGGATGGTGCGCGGCGCGCCGGGGGCTCCCCGCCGCCAGGGCCGCAGCGCCGACGCCGAGGCAGAGCCAGCGGCCCCGAGCAGCCGACCCCCGCTCCGGGCGAGGGGTGAGCGGCCGCGGTGAGACGCCCAGGGCGGCGCGGGCGCAGCGGCCATGGGCGCCCTGACTAGCCGGCAGCACGCGGGCGTGGAGGAGGTGGACATCCCGTCCAATTCCGTGTACCGCTACCCGCCCAAGTCCGGTGAGGGCGCCACCCGGGCCGGGGAGGAGGTGGCGACGCTGCTGGTTCGGGGCTTCGGGGGTCCTAGGGACCGAGCGCTCCAGGTCACCGCAGAGTGATCGGGGAGGGAGGTCGGTCGTGCGGGAGGAGTGCAAGGGTGCTCGAGGGGCCTCGGCGGGGTCCCCGCGGTGGCCAGCAGTCGGCCGGAGGACGTGATCGGCCTGCGCTCAGGCTGTCCTGGGACAGAGACCTGTGCCCGGGGGACTGCGGGTCCCGAGGGGCGGGGTGCCCTGGGCGCAGGTGGGTAAGCGGGCCGCAGCGCCAGGTCCCTTTCTTTCCTGCCGGGGCCCCCTTTCTTTTGGGGAGCGGAGGGCTGGAATCGGACACATGCACCTGTGCTAGGTGGGGGCCTTGGCCGGAGCATCAGGCCCCAGAGAGGGACGGGCGCAGGTTTGAATTTGGTTCTCAGGGGCCAGCTCGCATCGACTGCCAGAGGAAGGAGGCAGAAAATGCTTTTACACTGCTGATGCCTTTCCAGGGGCTGTCAGAAGGAAAAAGAAGTGTTTAACGGAAATGTTTGGGAATGGGAGTAGGGGTCACCCAGGCTGTCCCTTTGCCAGCGTAGCAGCAAGCCCAGGGTCTGAAATGGGATTAGCTCTGGGACTGGGCACAGGTATTTAAAATGGATACAAGTATCGTGTTTATTTTCAGAGTCACTGAGAAGAGAAATGTCTCCTGCCTCCGGGCTGTGGCATAGGCATTGGAGATGGAGCAGGGTTTGGGCAGTGAAGGAGAGAGAGGCTCACCAGCTTGAGCGCCAGCTGATTCTGAGCTGCTGGTGCATCACCAAACTGTCTGCTCCTTGTTTTTCATTGCTTTTCTCAAGCCTTCTGGGGACCTATGACTGTCATCTTCTCTTTGGCTTAGGACCTGGTGGGGCTTTTGGTAATTCTGGAGAGGTGACAGAACTGGACATTCAAATAAAGACACGCCAGTGAGGCGAGACAGCTTCCCAGCAGTGCGTCCTGTCCTCCTCGTGCCAGGTGGACGCGGGAACCAGACAGTGAACCTGCGCCCCTGCGGAGCGTCTGCCGGCCACTGCTGCGGTGCCAAAGCAGGAGCCGTTGCAGGCAGGAATATGCCTAAGAGCCGTTGCCGAACAGTCTGAGAGAAAGCCGGGGGTCACCTGAGCTTTTAATCAAGCTCTAGCTAATTATGACCATAGGAAGCCGGTTCTAGGGAAGGGTGCATTTCGCTTTTTCATAGATGAAAAAGTATTTGCGAGTGTTTTTTTTTTTTTCTTTCTGAAATCACTTAGCTTGTATTGATTGAACTGTGGAGGCTGTCTTGCTGAGCTGGGAGTTTTCAGCAGAGTTTGCCTGCTGCAGTGCGTCCACGATTCCTGAGCGCACGGGGGTTCATGCAGGGGATTGATTCACCGGAAGGCTGTTCCCCAAAGGATATTGATATAAGGATGAATCTGGATGATGATAAAGAAAGGATAATGGGCCAAACTAAAACTTTTCTTAGCCTACACACTCAGTACCTACAGTCTTAAATAATCCTTTCCATACTACCAATTTTTAAAAGTTTTACCTAATTGTTACTTAAAAAAAAAATCCTCACCTAAGGACATGCAGATTGACCTTAGAGAGAGGGGAAGGGAGTGAGACAGAGAGGGAGAGAAACATCGATGTGAGAGAGGAGCATCAGTCGATCACTTGCCTCTCACATGTGCTGTGACTGGGGATCGAACCAGCAACCCAGGCCTGTGCCCTGACCAGGAATCCAGCAGTGACCTTTCAGTAGACAGGCTGCCGCTCCAACCAGCTGAGCCACACCGGCCAGGGCTATTCCTCATTTTAATCAGAAATTTTGTGTGAGAGACGTCTTCGCATCAGGTGGACCAAATCGTTTATACTGAAGGTAAAACACACAAACTAGGAATTGGAACATTCACGTCCCAGCCAGCGAGGCTTCGTGTACTTGGCACTTGGTACAAACTTGCACATAGGAATACGCATGGGGCTAGCGACGTGGCTCACTCTTCATCTGATCTTTACATTGACCTGGCTCTTTATGGAGTTACAGGATTTTAGACCTGAAAGGAACCTGTGAAAGAACTGGGCTCGAGACCCACTCATTTCGCGGTGAGCACATGGAGGCCCGGAGGAGTGTGCTGGCTTGCCCGGGGTGACTTAGGAAGTCAGGCTTCTTACTACACATTAGCCTCTGCCTTTCACCAGGAAGTAGATCTTGAACTTGTCCTTGATGGTTGTGGAACGGAGGCTATTCTGTGTCAGAACTGAAACAGAACCCAGCGTCCTGGCTCCGCTGAGGAATCAAGCTGGCTCGATTTCGAGGCCTCCCTGCCATGGAGCCTGGCACAGGGCAAAGCCGACGGCAGCGCCCGCCCTCCCCGGGCACCGGCCCCCACGCGGTCTCCACGGCCGGGTGGTAGCCGTTCTAGAAACCAGCACCGTCGTCTGTCCCTGCGGTAATGGTCACTGTGCCCAGCACAAGTGGCTTCTCCCTTTGTTTTTTGTATTTTTAAAGGAAACCCTTAGTTTCGCATGTATGTTAACCTGGAAACATTGAAAAAATTATTGAGAACAGCCGATTTCATATCAGAACTTGGGTTTGTAGGTTTTCTATAGCCTGCGGAAGTCCCGCCCTCACTGTGCTTGTCTCCCTGCCCAGCTCGCGCCCTCCCCACGCCCTCCCCACGCCCTGTGTGACTGCTTCCAGCTTCTCCGGAATTTCCTGTGAGCGCACAAGTGCAGTGAGCTATACCTTGTATTTTCCACTTTGAGAGATATTTTTATATTATCTCTATATTGAAGAGTTTTTTGGTTCTTTTTATTTTTTTAAGTGAGTCCTTTTTTAAAATTTATTTTTAGAGAGGGGAAGGGAGGGAGAAAGAGAGGGAAGCATCAGTGTGTGGTTGCCTCTCACGTACTGGCCAATGGGGACCTGGCCCGAAACCCAGGCCTGTGCCCTGACTGAGAATCGAACCGGTGACCCCTTTGGTTTGCAGGCTGGCGCTCAACTCACTGAGCCACAGCAGCCAGGGCTTTTCTGGTTCTTTTTAAAAGTTGTATAATACTCCTTTGTATGAACATGCCATTACTTTTTTTAACATTGTCTCCTATTGATGAATATTTAGGAGAGGTTTTTTTTTTCCAGTCTTTTACAAACAATGCAGCAATAATTAATGTTACACATGCATTCTCAGGTGGGGTTTTGATTTGTTAATGAATCTATGAATACTAATCATTTAAGCAAGAGAGGGTGTGGTGGGGGTTTGTTTCTCTATAGTATTTCTGCGTTAGCACAGACAGCTGTGTATAGAGCTTGGTTCCGAGGGAGGTTCGGTCTTCGTTGTGTCTGAGTCGGAGCCCACACGTGCTGTCAAATCCTCCTCACTGGTCTTTCGTTTGTATCGGGGGCGTGGCTTTGCTAAGGCCGGTCTTTCATTTGTAGCGGGGGCGTGGCTTTGCTAAGGCCGTGGTTTTTAATGCCTGCCCACCCATCTTTTGAACGGGGCGTTGCATCGCTACCAGTTGACCACTAGGCCTGTTTTCTCTGCCCAGGAAGCAGCAGGGGTGCTATAAAGGCCACTGGATTTATTTTAATGCAGTATCTGGTCAGTCTAGTTCATTCCCCACTACATGTCTGAGCAAGTTGAAAATTAGGAGGAATTAACTTTGCTCAAGGGTTAAGCGGTAAACCTTTTATTAAAATTCAGAATGCTTATCAGAATCTTGAGAAACTAACAGCATTATTCTCCTGATCTTTGTTATACTGGAGTACTCCTTTGCTCATCAAGGGGATTGGTCTTATGGCAAGAGTAGAAAAAACAGGGGTAATAAGTCTTTGCCTGTCAAACAGTTATAAAAGTTTCTCTTCGCTTTTAGGGGCATCAGTTTAGTGTTAGTTTTAAAACGAGGGACTTAAAAATATGCAACTTGCTACCTAATAAAGAATTATTCGATTCCGCCACAGTCTGATTGATACTTCAACTAAAACTAAGTAGGTTCCTGAAATTTGTAGTAAATTTACTTAACCAGAAAAAAACCAAAATGTCACTCTCTTTGATGATGTCATCGGGATTAAGAGTTCAAATGCCACTGTTATTTCTAAAAGATTTCAGAGGTGGTGATCCTGTTGCTTTAGGAAATTCCAGTGTGTTTTTTTTTCTTACTTATACATTACTTCATTGAGAGCAGACTGACTGCTTTCACTTCTTGATTTTGTCATAAGGTTTAGGGCCTCTGGTTTCCCTAAAGGACAGCGGTTACACTCACTTGTTCTGGTGGCATCCCTCTTCTCTTGCTTGTTATTAGCATTAATGCCCCTTCTTGGGCGCCTGTCCACATCACACATGGCGCTGGGCACCAGCCTATGGATTCTGGTCCTGTGCCGAGCGAGTTTGATGCCTGTGGCGAACGGCAGGACGGAGCCCTCCAATCAACTTTGTCATTCAGGATGTGGGACCCAGAAGGAGTATCAGCAACACCAAGTGTTTGGTGGCTGCGTGAGTAGTCAGCCTTCTCCACAGAACGAGAATACAAAAATGGACATTGATTGGCCAAAAATTGACTGGCTCGCATGATCGTGGGGGGGTGGCAAGTCTCAAACTTGTAGGGCAGGCGGGCAGCCTGGCAACTCAGACGTCGGGCCGTGCTGTGGTCTTGAGTCTGAGGTCAGCAGGGCCACTGGCGGACCGGGAACCCAGGCAGGGTTTCTGTGTTACAGCCTCCAGGCAGAGTCCCTTCTGCAAGGAACCTCAGTTTTTGCTCTTAAGGCCTGACCTGATTGGAGGAAGCCCACCCACATTACCAAGGGCCTATTCACTTAATAATTACCCCCCTCCCCCCTCACCAAGCAGCACTAGACTGGTGTTTACCCTGGGCTGGCACCTTGGCCCAGCCAAGCTGACACATGAAATTGAACATACTGGCTTCCATTTTGACTAATTATTCTCACTACCTAAATGCTAAGCTTGAATCTTCAGTTGC